GGGAGAGAGAGATAGAAACATCAATGATCAGAGAGAATCACTGATTGGCTACTTCCTGCACACCCCCTACTGGGGACCGATTCCCACAATCCAGGCCTGTGCCCTTGACTGGAATAGATAGAACCCGGGACCCTTCAGTCCCCAGGCCGATGCTCTATCCACTGAGCCAAACCAGCTAGGGCTCTTTGTGATGTTTTAGCTATTAGTATTTACTTTGTAAAAACTAATAATATTTACTTAGTAAAAAACTACTCCTTAGTTTGAAATTAGCTGGGAAACTCAATATTCTTAATGGGATGTAAGGAGAAACCAGGAAGGAAGAAAGGATATTAACACCAGAAAGTAGAGAAGCCATAATTTCTACTAATAAACTTAATAAACCTGCACGCATGTACATTTTATATTTTTTCCCCATTTGCCACAGATTCTCACAGGTCCTTAAACTAAGACATTTGGGAACTTCTGCTTTAAGGTTTAGGAGATTCCTTAGTGCCTTCTGATTCAGGGGGGGAAAGCAGATATATTTATAACAATGTAGTTTTCCGTGTGTGTGTTTTAGTCTGTCACAATATTGTTTGAAAATGTTCATCCATATATGGTACATGGCAACTAAACTCATAAATTGATTGGAAAAATCCACTCCTTGCCCTGACCGGTTTGGCTCAGTGGATAGATCGTTGGCCTGCGGACTCAAGGGTCCCAGGTTCGATTCCGGTCAAGGGCATGTACCTCGGTTGCAGGCACATCCCCAGTGGGGAGTGTGCAGGAGGTGGCTGATCGATGTTTCTCTCTCATCGATGTTTCTAACTCTCTATTCCTCTCCTTTCCTCTCTGTAAAAAAATCAATAAAATACATTTAAAAAAGAAAAATCCACTCCTCAACCATTGTATTAATGATTAGACATATATTACTTTACTGTTTTTCCATTTGTATGTGAAAACACAAATTTTTTAAAGCCAACCAAAATGAACTTATAAATGGTTAACACATTTTTCATTTGAAACTTGTTAATATTCATTAAGTTCTAAATAATATCTACTTAGAGTTGTTGGGAGGAAACTGTCTTAAGCACCTAGCAGAGCAACTGACATATAGTAAAGGTTCTTGTTAAAGGTGATTAGCATTGTTAATTGTTATCTGCAAGTTTGAATCAGCAGCTATCTTTAAAGACCAAAGACCCACTCTAGCTGGTTTGGCTCAGTGGATAGAGCATCAGCCTGTGGACTGAAGGGTCCCGGGTTTGATTCCAGTCAGGGGCACATGCCCAGGTTGCAGGTTCGGTCCCCAGTAGGGGGCATGCAGGAGGCAGCCGATCAATGATTCTCTCTCATCATTGATGTTTCTATCTCTCCCTCTTCCTTCCTCTCTGAAATCAATAAAAATATATTTAAAGAAAGAAAAAAGAAAAAGGCCAATGACCTGCCAAGGGGATCATGTGGGACAATGCCCTTTAGGAACAGGGATATTCTCTTGTACATCCTATTAGAAGAGTGGGATATTCTCTGCCTGTTGCTAGCACAGATACTGAGGGACAGGGGGAAATATTATTGTTCAGAAGTAAGCAGTCAAGATTCTGCTATGTTGGGCATAGAACTGCCACCCACACAAACACATATGTGATTCCACCATGTGGGACTTGGAGTCTGAACATGAGGCATATTAATTTAAGGGAGTTTTGTGAACAAGAGCCCACTTTTGGGTAGTAAAAAGAATTCTACACTGGGATATAGTAACTTATCAGAGACATTTGGGAAGTGATTATGGTCTCCAACATGATTTCTTCCAGACTTGAAGCAAATAAAGGAAATATGCTTATTGATCTATCTTTTACTTTTCCACATTTTATTCCTTTTTGTTGTTTTATACAGCTCTTTGCCTTCTCATAAAGTTATTATTTCATGTTTTATTATTAAACCTATTTTTATTGATTTCACAGAAAGGGAGAGGGAGAGAGAGATAGAAACATCAATGATGAGAAAGAATTATCAATTGGCTGCCTCCTGCACGCCCCCTACTGGGTTGAGCCCACAACCCAGACATGTGCCCTGACCGGGAATCCAACCGGGAATCCAACGGTCATTGAACCTGACCTCCTGGTTCATAGGTCAATGCTCAACCACTGAGCAACACCAGCTGGGCACATTATTTAGTTTTAAATCGTGCTCTGCAGTGATGTTTGGTACCAGCTGGAATCCAAAAGGCATTGCATTTTTATTGTCTTTTATCCATAAACATTTATCTGAGTGTATATATAATTTTTGTAGTACTAATGGAGTTCCTTTTTAGTTTCATATTTCACTAGTTAAAAATGTTTCAAAAATAAGTTACTGTAATGAAGTCAATAATAGAGGTCTGGGTAGCATATAACCCTTGAAACTAGACTGTTGTGTAGAGGCTCACTCTCCCATAATTTAAAAGTGGGTGCACAACTGCTCACATGGAGCCTACATTATCTGGCCTTCTCGTCTATAGTTAAACTGTAGCCAATGGGATATAGTGGAAATGATACATGTGATTTCTGGATCATGCCTTAAAAGTCCTGGGGCTTGCATTTCTTGCCCTGTCTCCCATTTCTTCTGTGCGGGGTGGAAGTAAGAGTGAGTGTTGGCAGTCATTTCAAGATGCCGCAATGGAAGCTGTGTGTCAAGATGGCAAAGCAGCTATGTCAGCCCTGAATTACCACCTCTACTGTAATTTGACAGAGAAATAAACTTATATCGTGTTTAAGCTCCTGTATTTTGGGTATCTTTGTTAAAGCAACTTAGTCTGTACTAAACCTAGTAGAGGGATAGATGAACTTGTGAACACAAAAGAGTTAGACTTGCCTAGGAAGGGAAAGTGGATGGAAGAGCTGGGTTCAATTGCCCATTCTGCATAAAAGGCCTCAGGAAGGAACATCTGTACAATACCAAAGAAAGATTCTTCTTTGGGCAAAGGTCATTGAACCTGAGTTGGCTATTTGACCTTGGACAAGTCACTTAAAATTTATCTGACCTTAACGTAAAAAGATTGAAGCCCTTGCAACTGTGGCTCATTTGGTTGAATGTTACCCTTGCACCCAAAGGCTGCTGGTTCGATTCCCAGGCAGGGCACATGCTCAGGTTGTGGGCTCAATCCCCCCCGCCCCCCCGAATGACCAGTAGCGGTCATTCAGGAGGCGGCCAATTGATGTATTGCTCTCACATGGATGTTTCTCTCTCCCTCTTCCTTTCTCTCAAAATCAATTAAAAAGTCTTTAAAAAAAGATTGAAGAAGTTGATTTTTCAAGGATCCTTTCTAGCCCTGTCATTCTATAAATGAATATCGTTCTAGAAGAGACTGGAGAGAGATGAGGATAAACCTCAAACATTAAGTACCTGAATTGATCCCCCAGAGATGCATAGTAATACTGGTATGTGGATCAACAGCTGGAGCAGATATTACGGATGGGGTCCAGTAGTAGAGACTATTCTCTAATGTGTCTACTTGCAAACTGGTTAATTCTGGACTGATTTCCTTTCTTTTTCTTGAACCTTGCTAAAAGCAAGGAGTGGCAGCCAACACACGTGACACTTGGGAAGAGTCAGCAGCCTTCCAGCCTGCAGTGTGTTTCTACCTGCCAATGCCATATAGATCAAGTTTCTGTAACAAATAGGTTTTTTAAAAAAATGCAGTAGCTAAAGCAAGATGAACACTTTCCTCCCATGTAATAGTCCAGAGGTAGACAGGCAGTCTAGGGCCTCTTAGGCAACTTTGCTTCACAAGGTAATTCATGGCCGAGGTCCCTTCCTTACTGCTCTGCAATCCCTTAGGGGTCCTTCTTGTTCTCATAGTTTAAACGGGCTCCCCATGGTCACAACTGGGTTGCAGCCCACGTGAGAGGGCGAAGAGGAAGTACAGAACAAGCAGTCTCTCTTACAAATGTACTGACTGGTATCTTTGTGGTACAAAACTTACCTAACTTTAATTAACGTCTTTGTGGAACAAAAATAGTAAAAGATTTGCAGAGTCACAGGTGATACAATTGGGAAAAACTGTGCAGTTAGCCACTTCATCATCAGGTCTCATGGCAGTAATCATTCATTTGGGTAGGGCTTTTCGTTCTCTGTCCTTTCTGACTGTGACATTTAGTTTTTGGTTCTCAGAATAGACAGATTCCAAGTGGAAATTTAAAATGTGTGTAGTATTTACCCTACGAGATTGGGCTTTGTACGCCTTACGAGGTTCCCAGTGGCAACACTCACAATAGCATACACATGCTGAACCTATTGTGAATAAAAATTGAATTTGTGCTCTAACCGGTTTGGCTCAGTGGATAGAGCATCGGCCTGCAGACTGAAGGGTCCCAGGTTTGATTCTGGTCAAGGGCATGTACCTTGGTTGTGGGCACATCCCCAGTAGGGAGTGTGCAGGAGGCAGCTGATCGATGTTTCTCGCTCATCGATGTTTCTAACTCTCTATTCCTCTCCCTTCCACTCTGTAAAAAATCAATAAAATACATTTAAAAAATTGAATTTGTAACCCAGAGCTATTTACATTTTCCCCCACAAAAGATGCCTCCTGATAAAGACAATGCTTAACCCAAGACACTCTTCGTGTCCCTCGGATCATACAATGTTGCCTCTACTAACCCAAGCAGCGCTACCGAAGGGACCTGCACCGAAAACCATTTCGTCCACCCTTTGTTCGAGTTCATTTCTCTCTCCCATGTTCCCCCTTTCTTCTGGACTCGGAGTTGGTCACCTAGGATCGGCTTGGAGGACCTGGTTGCTAAGAGACAAGACGCTGGGAGGGTGGGGACGCTGCACTGCGACAGGCCCGGGAGTGAACGCTGAGGGGGGGCAGGGGAAGACCGGGCCAGGCGCCGCGGCCCCTGCTGCAGCAGCCCGTTCGGCTCCCTCCCGCCCGACAGGAGCTCGTCGCTCATTGGCTCCGCCGCTGCGGCGCTGGCCCGCGATTGGCCGGGCGGCGTTGGGCGGTGCTCCCCCGCCCCCGGGCGCTGGTCCCGGCCGCTCCCACGCGGGCGGGGCGGCGTGTGAGGGCTCCTGTGAGGGCTGCGGCCAGGGCTGCCGGCGGGGTCGCGGGAGCTTATGGCCGGAGCGCGGGCAGAGCCGGCCGCCGCAGGGGACGGAGGTGCAGCGAGGGCCTCCCGGCCCTGTGGAGGTGAGCCAGGCGCCGAGGGGCTCGGGGGCCGGCCGGGGCGGGGAGTGCGGCGAGGGGCGGGGCCGCCAGCGCGTTCCCGGCTTGGCCTCCATCCCCGGCGGGACGGCCGGGGTCCCGCTCCCCGAAACGACCTCGAACGCCCCCAGCGCCGCCTGCAGCCCCGCCCACAGCCCCGCAGCCCCAGAGCCCCTCCACCCGCCCCGCCCCGCCCGCGCACCAGCCCCGGAGCCAGCTCTGCCCGCCGCCCGCCCGCCCAGCCCCCGCCTCGCCCCTCTGCCCGCGCCTTTGTGCGCCCTCCCCTCCCGACCCCCGCCGGGAGCCTCTCCCATCCGTCCCCCCCACCCCCCGGGTTTAGGCGGAACCGAAGCCGGAGGCGTCGCGAGGGACCCCCTGGCCGGACGCTTGCTGGGCTCTGCCCTGTCCATCCGGGTGTCCGATGGGCTTGGACTGCCCCCTCCCCGTCCTGAGCCAGCCGGCTCCGTCCTCGTCCGCGGGATGGACGCGCCGCAGGCTCCCCGCGTGCGGATGACTCAGGGTTACTCCCACCCGGTCACCCGAGGCCCGCACCCGCCCCGCCCCTCGCTGCCCGTCCTACCACTGCTCAGGGACAGTGGTCACTCTGTAGGAGCCTTGTCCGTTTCAAAAGGAAAAAGCATCAGATGCCAGTCGTGGACCCCTGTTGGCCTTAGATTGTTCTTTGTAGATACATTTCAGTAAACCGAGCTTGTGCGAAGGGGGAGAGGACGTGAAGTGCACGCTTAAAGCGCGTTGTGTATTAAACAAGTAGAATTTTTATTTCCGGTAAGTCACACGTTTCTACTTAAACATTAACTTTTAAAATATACTTTGTCATGAATGGGAGTAGAGTTAGTCAAGGTATAATTTGAGCTTCGAACTTTTCTTTTTGTCATAGTTTTTGATAAGTCTGTACTCCCCTCTGCCCCCCAGAATGGGATGCACTGTGACAGCTCCTTTGTTATCCATCAAGTATTAAGTATCCTTTCATACTTATATTCAGACTCTAAGGCAGCGGTTCTCAACCTGGGGGTTATGACCGCTTAGGGGGTCGAACGACCCTTTCACAGGGGTCACCTAAGACGATCGGAAAACATATTGTTTTTGTGATTAATCACTATGCTTTAATTATGTTCAATTTATAACAATGAAATTGGGGGTCACCACAACATGAGGAACTGTATTAAAGGGTCAGGGCATTAGGAAGGTTGAGAACCACTGCTAAGGGTTGCTTTCTTGAACATTCATTTAGCTGGAATTAGTACAGGGTGCTCTTCCCTTGTTTGGTGTGATTCAGTTGTGTAAAGAAAATGTCAACAGAAAACAAAAAAATTTTCATCTTGGAGAAACCAAGATGGCGGCATAGGTAAACACCAGAAATTGCTGCCTCCACAACCACTTCAAAAATACAACTAAAAGACAAAACGGACATCATCCAGAACCACAGGAAGGCTGGCTGGGTGGAAATTCTACAACTAGAAGGAAAGAGAAAAGCACACTGAGACTCAGGAGGTGCAGAAGTAAAGTGCAGAGGTACGAAGGCACACATGGAAAGGGCCGGCAACTGAGGACGCGGTTGTCTTTTTCAATCGGGAGGGAGTCTCAAGCTCCCGACGGCCCTGAATCCAGTTGTGGGCGAGTCTCTGGGGACCCAGACTCATACGGGGAGAAACTGAAGTGTTTGGCATCGATTGGAACTCGAGGGCAGCTTGCTCTCAGAGGTGCTTGCAGCGATTACCGGGACACTGAGACGCAGGGCCTCTTAGGGTAAGACTGAGGAGCAGCCATAGCTGCTTTATCCGCCCTGTTGATCCCCTGAGACCCCGCCCCACCCAAGCTGTGCACAGAGGCTTTTGCATATGAAAGGCCTGGCCCTTTGCAATCTGAAAATTACCTAACAAACTGCAGCTGGGTCAGAGAGACCCAGAACTTCCAAAAGAAGGCCCAAGGCCTCACAGCAGCTTGCATTGCTTCAGCTGGGCCTCTTCTGGGCACCTCCAAACCTCAAACAAAGAAGAGGAATCTGCAGATCTCTCCATAGCTACTGCTGGGTAGCCTCAGGCAGAGGCTAAGTTAGCACCTCCTTAGAGATCCAAGAGCCAGTGTACCCAGTGGTCAGAGTGGGACCATCCAGATTACAACTCCTCAGATCCATAAGGGACACACTCAGGGGGCAGACTCAGTGAGCACCAAAGCCCCATTGAAGCAAGTCTTGCCCCAGAAGGGTGTCTCCAGCACAGCTCTCCCACTGCAGACACAGCTGATTCTCACAGCCAATTGGCCTGGAGGTCAATTCCTCCCAGTGATACCTACAACAATCAAGGCTTAACTACAACAAGACTGTGCACAAAGCCCACAAGGGGGTGCACCGAGAGTGTCCACCTCAGATAATTGGGGAGGCTGAGCTAGTGGGCCCTATAGGACACCTAGCACAGAAAGCCACTCTATTAACACAGGGAAGCATAAAAAATGCGGAGACAAAGAAACAGGTCACAAATGACAGAAATGGAGGAAACCAAACTACTGGATATAGAGTTCAAAACCACAGTTATAAGGTTTTTCAAGAATTTTATAGAAAGTGCCGATAAATTTAGTGAGACCCTCAAGAAATCTAGTGAGACCCTCGAGGTAATGAAAAAGGACCAACTAGAAATTAAGCATACACTGACTGAAATAAAGAATATTATACAGAGATTCAACAGCAGAGTAGAGGATCGCAAGAATCAAGTCAAAGATTTGAAATACGAAGAAGCAACAACCAACTGGAAAAACAAAAAGAAAAAAGAATCCAAAAACATGAAGATAGTGTAAGGAGCCTCTGGGGCAATATCAAGCGTACCAACATCCGAATTAGGGGGGTGCCAGAAGAAGAGAGAGAGCAAGATATTGAAACCTATTTGAAGAAATAATGACAGAAAACTTCCCCTACCTGGTGAAAGAAATAGACTTACAAGTCCAGGAAGCACAGAGAACCCCAAACAAAAGGAATCCAAAGAGGACCACACCAAGACACATCATAATTAAAATGCCAAGAGCAAAAGACAAAGAGAATCTTAAAAGCAGCAAGAGAAAAACAGTCAGTTACCTACAAGGGAGTACCCATACGACTGTCAGCTGATTTCTCAACAGAAACTATGCAGGCCAGAAGGGAGTGGCAAGAAATATTCAAAGTGATAAATACCAAGAACCTACAACCAAGATTACTTTACCCAGCAAAGCTATCATTCAGAATTGAAGGTCAGATAAAGAGCTTCACAGATAAGGAAAAGCTAAAGGAATTCATCACCACCGAACCAGTATTATATGAAATGCTGAAAGGTATCCTTTAAGAAGAGGAGGAAGAAGAAAAAGGTAAAGATAAAAATTATGAACAACAAATACACATCTATCAAACAGTGAATCTAAAAATCAAGTGAATAAAAAATCTGAAGAACAGAATGAACTGGTGAATATAATAGAATCAGGGGCATAGAAAGGGAGTGGACTGACTATTCTCGGCGAGGGGGTGGGGGTGCGGGAAGGAGTGTGGAGGGTGCAGGAAGAGACTGGACAAAAATCGTACACCTGCCCTAACTGGTTTTGCGCAGTGGATAGAGCATTGGCCTGGGGACTCAATGGTCCCAGGTTTGATTCCGGTCAAGGGCATGTACCTTGGTTGTGGGCACATCCCCAGTAGGGAGTGTGCAGGAGGCAGCTGATCCATGTTTCTAACTCTCTATCCCTCTCCCTTTCTCTCTGTAAAAAATTAATAAAATATATATTTTTAAAAAAATGCTACACCTATGGATGAGGACAGTTGGGGGGGTAAGGGCAGAGGATGGGGTAGGAACTGAGTGGGACCCTCTGGGGGGAAAAAGAACAACTGTAATAATCTGAACAGTAAAGATTTAATTTAAAAAAAAGAAGATTAAGACTACCCACTTTGAAAAATTGTATCAGCTTCAGGTTAAAAAAGTTTTTTTTCATCTCTAAATGATTTAAATTATTCTTTTTTTTAACAAATAAGTTTATTTTTTACATATATGTATTTTATTGATTTTTTTACAGAGAGAAAGGGAGAGGGAGAGGAATAGAGAGTTAGAAACATCGATCAGCTGCCTCCTGCACACTCCCTAATGGGGATGTGCCCGCAACCAAGGTACATGCCCTTGACTGGAATCGAACCTGGGACCTTTCAGGCCGCAGGTCGACGCTCTATCCACTGAGCCAAACCAGTTAGGGCTAAATTATTCTTACACATGTATATTGTGAGTACCCTATTTGAAATATACATACACGTTTTTAAGTATTTAGTCCGGACTGTATTTTTGATTAGCTAGTAGGTGCCTACACATTGTAGGACACAATAAGTATTTTAGGAATTTTAAATAAATGTTTTGGAAGTGGAAAAAAAAGTACCCCTGTTCCTTGCCCTGAACTCTGTTTTAGACTGAGACCCAAATAAATTGTACAAAACTACCCTATGCCCTAACATGCATCCCAAATTGTGTGGTGTGAAAAAGTGATGATGTACCAGGCACACAGGTGGAGGACAGTGAAGTTCTGGAAAATCTATTTTTACTTGGGCTCATTTACAGTTATTAAAATTATTCTTAGAAATTTTTAATGCCAATAATGGCCAAAATAGGAGGAAGAAAAATAATAATAGTGGTGACAAGTTATTTACTGAGCACGTTTTGTATGCCAGATAGTGTGCTGGATGCTATATCTATTACTATTTAATCCTCACAGTAACACCAAAGGTAGGTATTATTTTCTTATAGCTGAGACTATTGAAAGTGGTAAAAACTGGATAAGAATCTAGATCTGACTTTTTTACTCATTTTGTCAAAAGGATACTTCATTGAAAAGTTACTGTCTCTTATCTGCCACATTTATCTATATGAATTTGTTTAATCTGAGGATGTCCAGAATGGTAATGTTACTACTACAAACATTACATAGTCCTTACTGTGTACCAGGTAGCACTGTCCATATGTCCTCAAAAGTATGTGGGCTAGCCACTATTTTTTTGTTTTACAGATGAGGAAATTGAGGCACAGAGATAAGTAATCTGAACCATGTAGTACCTTAAGTGTTTCTTTTTAATGCTCAGGCAGATACATGTAGGATAACTTTATGTCTGCCACCTGATGTCTTATATCAGTGTTTTATGGAAACAGTTACATAGTCCTAATCATAGTTAACCCTTACTGAGAGCTTCTACATTCCAACTCCCCATCTGAACATTAAAACATCTCGCATAATCCTCAGCACAATGCTAGGAGGTAGATAACTCTCATTCGTGAGGCGCTTTCATTGTTTTCAAAGTGCTCTCACAAAATAATCCCTTTGATTCTCTCTATGATGTCAGTCAGAAGAATTATCATCTTTTTAAAAATACATTTTATTGATTTTTTACAGAGAGGAAGGGAGAGGCGTAGAGAGTTAGAAACATTGATGAGAGAAACATCGATCAGCTGCCTGCTGCACACTCCCTAATGGGGATGTGCCCGCAACCAAGGTACATGCCCTTGACCGGAATCCAACCTGGGACCCTTCAGTCCACAGGCCAACACTCTATCCACTGAGCCAAACCAGTTGGGGCGGTATTATCATCATTTAGTCTAACTACTGAAGTTCAGATCACTTGCCTTGACTAGCATGTGTGGAGTTAATACTCAAAGCAGAGCTATGGACTCCTGGGTGCACTGCTTTTGGCACTGCACCAGTCTGTCAGTGGATTCTTGTTTTCATACTTCATGCCCTACAATAGATGTAGTTTTCCGTAGTAACAGCTTCTCTTTGGTGATTACATTCCCAACCCAGAATTCATCATCAGTTGAATCATAGATATGACTAGCCATAAACCTTTGTCTTATTTTCATATGTAAGTTTATGTTCTAACTTCAGATAGAATGCCTGGCCCATAGCAAGGGCTCAGCACGTGTTTGAATAAGATAAGAGACGTCTCACATACATTGATACCAAAAAAAAAAAGTTTTTTAAAATTATTTTTTAAATCTTGGCTTTATTGAAGTATAATTGCCAGAAATACTTAAACTTCTCTAAGTTTAAATGTCGTGGCTTCATTTTTGTTCTGATACCACAGCCTTCCCCCTCCCTTACCTCACAAGCAGAAGCTTTCAGAATTATTTCTTTGAATTATAACTGACTTCAAAATTAGACTGTCTTTCTCTACCCTAAGTCATCATTCCCAGCCTGCTGTCTCCCTGTAATATACCTCTTGTATATAATGGAAACAACATGGATGTGAGCGTCAGTTTTACCTTGCCCTGCCTCTTATTACTTCTGTGGCCTTGTACTTCTCTGAACCTATTTCTTCATCTTGTAAAAGTGGGGAGAGCACCTTTCTTATAGGGGTGTGGTGAAATTTTATTGAAATAACAGTTCTACCATCCTAGGAAGTACTCAGTAAATAATAGCTGTTATGTGTCCCTCCTCTGCCCCTCTGGCTCCCCTCTGCTTTGGCTCTCAGAAAATTATATTAAAAAGATCCGTTTGTCTGCTAATACTTCGCGCTAAACCATAAACTCCTTGAGGACCGGTACCATGCCATATTTATTTTTGCATCCCTGGTGCTTGGCACATAGTTGGGACCCACTGAATGAATATTTATTGCACTACATGCATTCGGAAAGCCATCTGGAGCCTTTTTTCTTGGTGATCCTATTGCCTGAAGATTTTGGACACCCTTGGCCACTGCACATGTTATTCAAGGGCTCCTAGATTGAAATAGGGGATGTGGTTTGTGGAGAGTCAGGTGAAGAAGCAAGGGAAGCCTCCATTCTGCTCAGTAAGTGCCTGTGTGTGGAGGTGTCTTGGCTTTGTATATATGAGTGTCAGGGTGTGTATTTAAGGATTAAAACTTATCGGGCCAATTGTTCCATTGCTTCTGAAGACAAGGAAGAAGAGAAGAACTTTCCCCAAAAAAGTTGTTTCGAACATATAAAAATAACACTAATTATAGTTGATGATTAATAGTTTCACATTACACTTTTAATCATTTATCTATCTGTCCATCCTTCTATCCATCCATTTACCAAGTCATAATGTCAAAATACTATTATATTTGAAGAGTTTGAGCTATATCCTTTGTGTTTATTTTATGTCAGCTTTACTTTATATAGTAGCAGATAATTTTTAGGAATTTAAAATGTTCTGAAAACATTTGTATATCAGATGCAAATAAATCTGCTTTTATCTGTCTCTAGTTCCAAAAGATGAGTCGTGGATATTCAGAAAACAACAATTTCCTGAACAATAACAGCCAAATGGTGTTGGACATGCTTCTTTATCCATTAATCGGAATCCATCAGACGATTAACTGGGAAACTGTGGCAAGGCTTGTTCCTGGATTAACGCCCAAAGAGGTAAATAACAGTCCCACAGATATCTTCTGAAAAAAAATTAGAAAAAGTAATCAATTTCAAGGAACAACTAAAAAAATAATTATAGAAAAGTATCTTCAAATAACAGACAAGAATATATTTTCTTATTTTTTAATTTTAAAACTCCCAGCCCAATCAGTGTGGCTGAATGGTTGAGCATTGATCCATGAACCAAGAGGTCACTGGTTCGATTCCAGGTCAGGGCACGGGCCCAGGTTGTGGGCTCCACCCCCCGTAGGGGTGTGTAGGAGGCAGCCGATCAATGTTTCTCTCTCATCAATGTTTCCATCTCTCTATCCCTCTCCCTTCCTCTCTCTCTAAAAATAAATAAAAGCATAATTAAAAACAAACAAAAACTCCCAGACCTGCATTTTCTTCCTTTGATATTATCACAGTGTGCAAAAAGGTTTGAGGAACTGAAGAGCAGTGGAAGCTCACCTGTTGACAACCGGTATAGTCCCCTAATGGCTGGAGAGAGTCCTGTTGAAACTTTAGCCACGTATATCAAATCCTCACTTCTTGACGCACAGGGAGAATTTCAGGAGGCTTCTGTTGATCAGGATGCCGTTTCCAAAACAGGTAAGGTTTTAAAACAAAATGCAGTGTTTGTCCTTACGATAATTCTGCAAATTATTATGTATTCCAATCATCTTTTCTTTATTTATGTAAAGGCTAATATAAACATTAATAGAAAAATCTACACATTTTTGTGTCTTCCTAAATTTTAGAAATTTTTCTTTTCTATATTTGAAAAAATTTTAAATGTTAATATACAGGTCAAATATTATTAACAAAAAAATTTATTTACTATACCAAAATTTACTATTCCAAGTTATGTCATAAATATTAAAGGGATTTGACTTAAGGTTTTTTCCCCCTCCCTCAGGGAATTTTGCTTGTCTCTTGTGTTATCTTTTTTACAGCTGTCTATCCTTTATTGCAGTCAATGATAGTTTCAAATGACACAGTGGCAGGATAGAAGAGATGTTTTTCGCAATTGCTTGGAAATAATAACTGGTTTTAGAAATCCTCAGAGTGTAGTGAATTATTTTAATCTCAGCAACAGCAGTCAGAATATTGATGTGAAATTTACTTCAGGAAGGGAAATTTATATTATTGGCTTTTGAGCATTTGACCCTATTTGTACACGCCATATCAGTATTTTTTAAATCTTCATTGTAACATTAGCAATTTGTTATCCCTTTTTTGGACTGTTTCTTGCATAAACCTTTGGAATACTAAGGGAAGTGCCACCTTTAACTAGCTTTGGAAGCCATGCATTTACAGTATAACCATTCAATAAGTAAAAATTCATTCTGAGCTAGAAATGCTAACTTCCCCCCTTTGTTTTTGTATGTGTTTGTTTCTGTATTTAAGCTTCCACAAGGAATTGTTCTTCAGAAAGTGAAAATTGTACTACTCGTAATGGTGGAGAAGAGACTGAAGAATCTGAAGGGTAGGAGGCTGGTTCTTTGCTAGATAAGTTTAATATGAGTATCAACTTTAAATTATAAAATACATGACTGGTGATTATATACATCAGGTACCATAATTTAGGAATACCACAATTGCTGAAACAGTTGAAATTAGTTCATATGTTGAACTATATATAATTGCTTGATAGCTAAACATATGCTTATTTGTGTTGTTTATAAGTTGGACTAGTTTTTCATTTTAAAATTTTATTTTCATTTTGTAAATATTAGAAATAACATCTATTAACCTAAAACTTTGAAAAGTAAATTTTAAATCTAAAGGAAAAGTCAATTATTAGTTCTCCAGTTTTATTAAAGAAACTGGGTATGTATTTTAGAATGACGTATTTGAATATAATTATTCATTATAGAAACATTTAAAAATTAGAATATATCTTTCAATATATTACAAGTTATTTTTAAATCTCCCTATTTTTTTCTTTTATTGATTGTAGAGAGAGGAAGGAAGAGAGAGAGAGAGAGAGAGAGAGAGAGAGAGAGAGAGAGAGATCAATGTGGAAGAGAAACATTGATTGGTTGCCCAAGCGGACCGGGGATCAAACCTGCAACCTGGGTATGTGCCCTAACCTGGAATCAAACCTGCCACCTTTTGGTGTATGCAATGCTCCAACCAACTGAACCACACCAGCCAGGGCTGTATTGCAAGTCTTGATACTTTTGTATTGTTTTGTATACTTTACATACAGTCAACTGCCCATATTTTAAGTGTTCACTTTGATGAGTTTTAACAAATGGGCTCACCATGTAACCATGACCCAAATGAAGATATAGAATATTTTCATTGTCTCTAAAAGTTCTTTTGTGTATTTTCAGTTTAGATAGTTCTTTTTATAACAGTTTTATTACTATGTAAATCACATACTATAACATTTACCCTTTTGAAAACATCTTGGAGATGGATGGTAGTGATAATTGCAACAATGTGAATGTGCTTAATGCCACTGAACTGTACTCTTAAAAAGGCAAATTTTATGTAATGTATATTTTACCACAATAAAATAAAATCACCCTTTAAAAGTGATTTTTAGTTTATTTACATATAATTTTTACGTAGATTTTTAAAAAAATATATTTTATTGATTTTTTACAGAGAGGAAGGGAGAGGGATAGAGAGCTAGAAACATCAATCAGCTGCCTCCTGCACACCCCCTACTGGGGATGTGCCCACAACCAAGGTACATGCCCTTGACTGGAATCAAACCTGGGACCCTTCAGTCTGCAGGCCGACGCTCTATCCACTGAGCCGGATCAGCCAGGGCTACGTAGATTTTTTTAACTGCTAAGTTTGTATCACAAACATTTTATCAGATAATTTTTTTACACGGAATTATCTAGTATTTCAGATAGTGGTCCAAAAAGCCACAGAAACTTTATGCTTCATTATACCAGCCATTACCTGTTTATATTTTGACCATAATTTATTTGGAAGAACAATTTTCAGAGAGTTATTTAAATTCTTTTGACTTGGACAAGAGTGTTGATTAATAACCCTTTTTCTGGTAGCCCAATTTTATTTCAAATGCAATTATTTACTTACTTATTTTTATTTTTCAATTACAGTTGACATTCAGTAACATTTTATATTTGTTTGAGATGTAGAGCATAGTGGTAATTTTTTATATTTAGAAATAAAGTTCCACTAAACACACATCCAGTTCATCTTGTAGGACAGTGTATCCCTTCTTATTTAATCTCTTCCTTTTGTAATGACATGAAGGCAATTGTGGATCACACTAATGTTTCTTTTTGAGGTGATATACTTTTCAAAGGATACTAAATTCAAGGAGTACATAATTTTCGAAGCAGTCATTCTGATGTATCATCTAAACTTATTCTCAAATTATTAAAAAATATCTAAATAAGCACATTGTAGTTTTAAGAATTATTTTAACTATATTTACTAATTTATATTTATTGAATGCCTGACAAACTTTCTTTTTTTAAAAAAAAGTTTTTATTGTTATTGTTTTTAAATATATTTTTATTGATTTCAGAGAGAGAGAGAAACATCAATGATGAAAATCATCGATTGGATGCCTCCTACACACCACACCCCGTGCTGGGGATCCAGCCCACAACCCGGCTTGTACCCTGACTGGGAATAAAATCATGACCTCCTTGTTCAGGAGTTAAACCTCATCCACAGAGCCACCCAACCAGGCCTGACAAACTTTCTTGCTGTTAAAAATAACTAAGTTACTCTACTAATTTTTTTATTTTTTAGTGAATAGTTTTAACTGTTTTTTTCTACTTATTATTAGTAAGGAAATTTTAATATTCAGCTTTATCTACTTCCAAGACCCATAGCCATGTAAAAGTACTGTTTTATGTTCATCACAAGAATTAGGATGTATTACTTAATTTTTCTTCATGAATTGGTACTGTTTTTTAAATTTTCATAATTTACTTATACCTTGAAAATAATGAATTTAAAACCTGTAAATTATGAGTCCCATAGTAAAAAATATTTTTATTTGTCTAATTAAGTGAGTAGTTTAATTAAAATTTTCATAATCTCAGATATGGATAAGATTAGCAAGACACTTAAATCCTATAAAACTGATTTGTGGTCAAATCTTAAAAAACATCTCGTTCGCATACTTCCAATAAATGTTAATATTCTTGACTCCTCTTCTGAAATTCTAATAATTTTATTTCTATGTAACATTTTTTATGAAGGCCAAATATGGTGATCCATGTATGTGATGAAGCAAAAAATTTGAAAGAAGATTTTATTTGCCCACGAGACCTATTGATATCAGAAATGAAGTACTTTGCTGAATATTTATCTATGGATGCCCAGCGCTGGGAAGAGGTGGACATTTCAGTTCACTGTGATGTTCAAATTTTCAACTGGTTGATAAAGTATGTTAAAAGGAACACTAAGGAGAATAAAGGTTGTGAGATGCCCACTTTAGGTAAAAGACAATCTATTACTTACTTTGTTGTTAAGTTTGTGTGTCACCTGGTAGTTGCTTCAGGCCGAACATGAAATGTGGATAATTGCTTGAACATTAGCGTTTATACACAAATTAGTAATTGCCCTTTAGAAAACATACCTCATATTTTTTAGTAAATTATAATGAACTAGAAGCCCAGTGCACGAAATTTGTGCACTCAGGGGGGGGGTCCCTCATCCTGGCCTGCACCCTCTTGCAGTCCAGGAGCCCGGGGGGGATGTCCGACTGATGGCTTAGCGCTGCCACGGAGGCGGGAGAGGCTCCCACCACTTCCGCTACGCTCACCAGCCATGAGCCTGACTTCTGGTTGAGCTGCACTCCCCCTGTGGGAGTGCACTGACAACCAGGGGGCAGCTCCAGCATTGAACATCTGCCCCGTGGCGGTCAGTACACGTCATAGCAACCGGTCGTTCTGCTGTTTGGTTGATTTGCATATTAGCCTTTTATTATATAGGATGTATGGCGAATGGACAGGTCTCTACATCAGCAATTCCCATTGTATGGTACATGGACCACTGGAGTCCTAGAGGATTCTTTTAGAGGATCCAGGAGGTCAAGACAATTTGCATAATTAAACCAAGATGTTATTTGTCTTTATGTGTTGACATTTGTCCAGGTGGTACAGATGTAAAACTGTTGCAGCTTTAGCATATATCAAGGCCAGTGCACCAAACTGTACTAGTGGTCTCTGTATTCTTCAGCACCATGAACTCAAAGTTAAAAGGAAAAAAAAAAATCCAGGTTCACTTAAGAATGTCCTTGATGAAATGGTAAAAATTACTAATTTTATTAAGTTTTGTGCCTTGAGTATACATCTTTTTAATATTCTGTGTGAGTATACAGAATATACATCTTGAGTATACATCTTTTTAATATTCTGCCACACACCAAAGTATGATGGTTGTCTTGAGGAAAAGCACTTGTACAGTTGTTTGAGTTGCAATCTAACCTCGTTGCTTTTTTTAAAAATTGAAAACTGTGTTTACTTGAGAGAATGACTGACAGACAAATTATGGTTACTCAGACCTAGGCATTTGGCAGATATTGTCTTGAAAATTAATTAAGCCCTAGCTGGTTTTGCTCAGTGGATAGAGCATTGGCCTGCAGACTAAAGAGTCCCGGATTCAATTCCGGCCAAGGGCATATACCTTGGTTGCAGTCTCCTTCCCAGGCCAGGCCTTGGTCAGGGCTCGTACAGGAGGCAACCAATCGATGTGTTTCTCACATCCATGTTTCTCTCTGTCTTTCCCTCCCTTTTCCACTCTCCCTAAAAAATCAATGGAAAAATATCCTTGGGTAAGGATTAACAACAACAACAAAAAAAACACCAAAAAAAGAAAAGAAAAGAGAATGAATTAAATGAGCTGGTCAATTAAAAAGAAACAACTGCTAGTATTTGTTGCCAATGATAAAATTCAAGCTTTCAAGTGAGAAAGTTTGGAAAACATTTATATGCTTGACAGCTTCTTAATATTTAAAGACTTTTCTGATGAGACTTGCAGTCATATTAACAAGTGTGATTTTTTAATATATTGTACAATGAAATGGTTCAACATTTGGAAGATCTGCATAACTCCGTGAACCAATATTTTCCTTGACTAGTACATGATGTTAAAAATCGTGCATAGAGCCCTAACTGGTTTGGCTGAGTGGATAGAGCGTCAACCTGCGGACTGAAAGGTCCCAGGTTCGATTCCGGTCAAGGGCATGTTCCTTGGTTGCGGGCACATCCCCGGTAGGAGGTGTGCAGGAGGCAGCTGATTGATGTTTCTCTCCTATCAATGTTTCTAATTCTATATCCCTCTCCCTTCCTCTCTGTAAAAAAATCAATAAAACATATTTTTTTAAAAATTATGCATGGAGTTAAAGATTCAAAGCACAAGATAAATCAGTGGATTTTAAGGTAATAGAATGGAAAAGTTCATTGATACAATTTCAGACCCCATTGCAACTAACCTTAAGAAAGTACCATTTGTCAAGTTTTGAAATAACATCAAAAAAGATACCCATATATTGAATATAGAACCAGATATGAGAATCCAGCTGATTTCTGTTAAGTGAGACATTGAACAAATTGCAAAATATGTCAATGTTATTCTCACTGGTTTTTTTCATTTTGGAAAATATACTAGTTATTTTTCATAAAAATATGTGAATATGTAATAAGTTTATTATTTTTTTAAAGTAAATTAATACATTTTCTGTTTTAATCTTTAACATGGTAAATACTCATATAACCCATATAAACAAAAGCTCTTTAGGAGTCTGATTTTCAGATTACAAAGGGACCTTGAGAGCAAAAGTTTGAGAACCACTATTCTAGATGATAAGAAGACTAATTACTAAGTAATCTTTCATTGGGCATAGTTTTATATAGGAAATCTCACTAGTGGTTTAAGAAAGTCTTTCTGTGCACTAAAATTGCTATTTACAGCAGTACCAAAATATTTCTTTTTAAAAAATATACATTTTTATTGATTTCAGAGAGGAAGGGAAAGGGAGAGAGAGACAGAAACATCAATGATAAGAGAAAATCATTGCTTGACCGCCTCTCACACACCCCCTCTGGGGATCATGCTAGCAATCCAGGCATGTGCCCTGTCCTGGGAATTAAACTGTGACTTCCCAGTTCATAGGTCATGCTCAACTACTTAGCTACACTGGCCAGCACCAAAATATTTCTAACCTCTTATTAGTAAATGAATCTATACTGACAGTATAAAAATTTTCTGAAGAAGTTTATAATTTCTATTTTAATGGAAAATGTTTCTAGTGGTTTATGATTAAATAAAATGAATTAATTTAAAAAAATTTCAGCCAATCAGAGTCCAGAGATACTGGACCATGCAGATGATATGTATGTGTGAAGTAAAAATCAAAATATGTAGAGAGAAAAAAAAGCTATTGCTTGATCCAGCATATTTATGTGGATGGTAAAGGTAAAAGTAGAGCAAAACTAGTCACTGTAATCTTTGACCTTAAAAAATGACTAGAAATGTAAACTTTTACACACATAATCTTTATTCTGATCTGGAAAACTACCAAAATGCTTAATTAAATCTCTGATAATCTAGACAATGGGTCTTAACTGGAATGGATTATATTATAATTTCCTGAGGAACTCTTTCACCAGCTCCTTCCTCCCTTCATTTCTATCTGAGAAACTTTCATCTAGAGTTGTTATTTAAGAAAAGATAGGGGTTACTTATTTTAATCATTGTTTGTATAGTTCTTTAGTTGGATTGTCTTAGTGCTTTAATGGTAAAAATCAGATTTTTCTTTAGTTGGATTGTCTTAGTACTATAATGGTAAAAATCAGATTTTTCTTTTTCTTAACTATAACTCATAGGAGATGAGTTAGGTTTACTGAAACAGTAGCATCATTTGGCATCCTCCTCTCCCTGGCTTCACTCAGTCTGCCTTTAGGAAGGAACTTTAGCATTTCTGCAGAAGTAAATTTTGTATTGTCTTTCAGAATCTTTTTCATTAAATACTTGTTCTTAAAAAGCATTGAACTGCTTTTTATGAACAAGGGCTCTCAATCATTTAAAAAATTTTCTCACTGATTTTTGTGTGATGAGTTATATTCTGGTTTTTTTTTAATATATTCTATTGATTTTTTTACAGAGAGGAAGGGAGAGAGATAGAGAGTTAGAAACATCGATGAGAGAGAAACATTGATCAGCTGCCTCCTGTATACTCCCCACTGGAGATGTGCCCGCAACCAAGGTACATGCCCTTGACTGGAATCGAACCTGGGACCCCCCCAGGCCACAGGCCGATGCTCTATCCATTGAACCAAACCGGTTAGGGCTTTCCTCAATTTTAATTATCTTTTTCCCTGGTTTAGTTAAGGAGAAATTTGCATATCTTGTATCTTTAACTGGAGTCCTCTTACTTGATAATGCATCTAATTCCAGGGCAAATTTACTGTGCATTTTCTTTATACCCTAAGTTTGAACATTGCATTTTCTTTCTTTCACATATGTAAGCCATAGTAAGATAATCTTAAATTGTTCTTATTAGAGTATCATCCTCTTTTAAGGTGAGAAGGAGCCTTTTCTCAGGAATTTGAGGTACAAATAAAAAGGAGAATTTAAATGTTTGTTTTTGTTTTTTTTTAAGAGCCAGGAAATGTCATTTCAATTCTTATTTCTTCAGAGTTTTTGAAAATGGATTCATTGGTAAGTATTAATAAAAGATCTAAGGTCTTCTGCTCACCCATGCTTGATCTAATATTTAACTTGATTTTTCCTTCAAGTTCTGAAGTAATTGTTAATTCAAGAGTGTGATTCCATTAGAATAAACTGCTCATGTTTGAGGTATTTTATTCTGTTGTGAAAGGGGTTAAGGCTGTTATATATCATTTGTATATGATGCCTATAAAGCAAGCAATTTATCCTCAAGGAGTAGCTCTCTGTTGTATTAGATGAAACAAAACAGAATTAACTTTACTCTAACAAAGAATTTGCTCTAAAATCAAGTTAAATGAAAATTAATTGGAATATATTTGTTTCACTATTTAAGTAATTTTTTTAAGCATGTTTTGTTAATTTGTGTCTTTCATTTATAGTTCAGCAAATTAAGAACCAATACCCAACTATTAAATAATATAATTTTGTATGTGTAAATCAGATGCTCATTCATTCTATTGTTTAAGAGTAGTTGATGAAACATAAAAGCATATGTGCATAAACATATATCAAGTTTTAACATGAAATATATTTGTATTTTTTTTGTTAATGAATTTGTTTATCATTCAAATGTTTTTATATATTCTTATGGTTTTCCTTTAAGTAAATATTTGCTTTTAGTCCCCAAGAAGATTACACAGGGCAGAACACTCCTTTGCTATGCTAACAGATGTGAAATTTGTTTGTTTATTTGATTGATTGGGGTTTTACTAGTTTACTATGTTCTTTTTATTCCTTAGTCCTCCCCTAGTTAGTTGTTGGTATTAATTGCTTCAGGAAAGGGTTACAGAAAAAAACAGAAATTAAAAGAATCCTTAACATTTGAATTCTGAAATCTAAGGCCCAAAGGATATTTTTCTGCCATAAGCAAAGTATTTTGAAGACTACATGATTTGCCAATGCTAGTTTTCCCTGGAACCCAAGTCCACCTCAAAAAGTAAATTTTCATAAATGATTTAATATGAAAAAAAGTAAATAAATATACCTCAGGTTGGAGAAGGAGGAAGAGAACAAGCACAACACAACTGAGAAAATCCTGAATTGACTGAAATTATGTTTCTGCTACTCAGAGAAATGGAAACTTAAAATTGTTATCTAAGTTCAGTGATAAGAAGTCACATATCCTATATACTTGAGTTTGTGGACTAAGATTTATACCTGCCACAGCTATGAAAGATGCTCATTGCATTACTTTTTAAAATATCTTAAGAAGGTGGAAAATGATTATTCTAGCTATGGATATATGTTTGTACAAATTTGACCTGCTGGACCACTTTGGAACAGTGTAGATAACCCAGATAAGCAAAACCCAGATAGTACGTAGCAATACATAGATAAGGCTTTTAATGAACTTTACCTTTGAAAGGTATTGATATTATACTATCCTTTATGCTGCTATTTTCAACATTCATTTTTTATTCTATGTTTTTTAGGTTGAACAATGTATTGAGTATTGCCACAAAAATATGAATGCCATAGTAGCTACGCCATGCAACATGAACTGTATTAATGCAAATCTTATTACACGTATAGCTGATCTATTCACACACAATGAGGTTGATGACTTAAAAGACAAGAAAGATAAGTTTAGGAGGTAATTTTTAATTTTACTATTATTTTTTAATATATTTTTATTGATTGCAGAGAGGAAGGTAGAGGGAGAGAGAGATCAAAACATCAATGATGAGAGAGAATCATTGATTGGCTGCCTCCTGCACATCCCCCATGGGGACTGAACCCGCAACCTGGGCATGTGCTCTTGGCCGGAATCAAACCTGGGACCCTTCAGTCCATAGGCCAACACTCTAATCACTGAGCCAACCAGCTAGGGCTAATTTTTAATTTTAAATCTGATGTTCCTATTAGAAAAAATATATTATTTCTATTTCATTTTAGTAAAATAGTCTGTTTTTAGATTACATTTAAAAATGTATTTCCATTTTATTTTAAATGAAGTAAAATTTATCCAGAGCCAATTGCCCAAGATAAATATTAGTAATTAAATTAGTTATTTTGTATAGTATATATATGAGCTTACTGTGGCAGTGCATTATGTAATTATTAAGACTGACCTTAGTATAAAGGGCAAGAGTGGTATGAGGAGGGGTCAGCAATAGTCATTGGCAGCAGAGGAGTGGCATTATCTGATTTGTTAAAAGATCATTTTGGTTTCTGTGTGGCGAATAGACTATAAGGATATAAGAAGCAAGGAGACCTACTAGGAAGTTAATGCAGCAGTCTGGTGAGAGAGGAAAGTGTTGGGACTAGAGTGGAAGCAATGGAGCTGGAAGGAAATAGATGTATTCAGAGTAGGTCATTAGACAGATTTGGTAGATTTTTCCTATGGAATGATGTAGGAAGAGAGAGTATTCTAGGGTAATTACTAGGCTTTAAGGTTGAGCAACTAAGTGGATGGAGGTGTCATCCACAGAGTGGAAAGATTGAAGTGAAGGGAATCAAGAAATGGGTTTGGATCATGTTAAGATTATTTAATGACCCAAAAGTATATATTTAATATATTTTTAGACATCAGTTAGGATGGCAAGTAGATAGTTGGATAGCTGAAGTTCAGGTCAGAGGTCAGGGCTTAAAACAGAAATATAAGCATAGATGAGGTTTGAAACCATGGAACTGGATGAGATTTCCTAGCAAACCTTTCTCCACTGAATTGCAGTGGCACCTTTATTATAAATCAGAGGAATATATATATGTGAATTTTGTTTCGGAATTCTGCATTTTCTGTTGATTTCTTTGTGGATACATATATCAGAGGCACATTGTCTTAATTGTAGTAGCTTTATAATATTCTTTGTTATCTAGATTCTCCAACTATGCCTTTCTTCAAGATTGCTGCTTTAGCCATTTTAGGTCCCTTGCATTTCCATATAAATTTTATAGTCATCTAGCCGGTTTGGCTCAGTGGATAGAGCATCAGCCAGCGGACTAGAGGGTCCCAGGTTCGATTCCGGTTAAGGGCATATGCCCAGGTTGCAGGCTCTATCTCCCCACTAGTGGGCATTGTAGGAAGCAGCCAATCAATGATTTTCTCTCATCGATGTTTCTACCTCTCTATCTCTTGCCCTTCCTCTCTGAAATCAACAAAAAATATTTAAAAAAAAATTTATAATCAGCCTGGCCGTTTCTCTCTCTCTCTCTCTCTCTCTCTCTCTCTCTCTCTCTCTCTCTCTTTCTCTCTCACACACACACATACACACACACACACACAGACCACATACACACACACCTGCTAGAATAATTTGGGGTTAATATTGAACCTGTAGATTTGTGAAGATTTGACATCTTAATAATATTGAGTCATTCAGTCCATGAACATGGTATAACCCCCCATTTATTGTAGCAATGTTTTATAATTTTCAATGGAAAGATCCTTTTCATTTTTTATTAAATTTATTCTTGGGTATTTAATTTCAGGGTGCTGTTGTAAGTGCTATCTTTATTTACTTTTCTAATTGTTAGCATGAGAATATTAATAAAAGACTATCTAAAATTTAGTTAGAGGTTCAACAGAGGAGTGTAGCCAGTGAGGGGCCTGAGAAGGAGGAGCCAATGGGTGGAAGGAAAGGCTTTCAAACAGGTGGAAGTAGTTAAGTGATCAAATGTGTAGAATGCTGTCACATGTAGAGTAAGGAGAGGACAGAAATGTGTCCAGTTGGATTTAGATAGATTTTTTCCAGATGTATTTTTACAATATATTTTTATTGAGTTCAGAGAAGAAGGGAGAGGGAGAGACAGACAGAAACATCAATGATGAGAGAGAATCATTGATCGGTTGCCTCCTGCACACCCTCTACTGGGGGTGGAGCCTGAAACCTGGGCATGTGCCCTGACCTGGGAATCAGACCTTGACCCTCTAGTTCATAGGTTGATGCTCAGCCACTGAGCCATGCAGGCCGGGCCATAAGTATTTTTTTAAAGGAGAGAATTATGTTTATTTGCTGACCAGGATGATTCATTAGAGTGAGAGGAATTGATAATATAGGGAATTGATCCAAGAGTGTAATCATTAAGGGAAATGAGACAAAGGGGAATTATCTAAGAGCTAAATACTTAAAAATGGGATCAGGGTCCTAAATCTGGATCTGGACTTTAATAGCAGCTGTTACATGAGGGAAAATGGAGATAGAATGGTACTTGGAATTAATGGCAGTTAGTTTAATTAGAAAATTCAGTCAAATTATGCATATTAATAAAGTATTAATATTTATTGAATGCTTAATGCTATGTCTGGCACTCTTTAAAAACATCTCATTTAACCCTCCTAAAAACTTACGAGTTTGGAATTATTAACCCCATTTTGTGGATGAGAAAACAAGGTTCAGAGAGGTTAACTTGCTAAAGATCATGACCTTCACTCCCAAGGAGGGTGTCTGGGCACTGCAGCTCAACGATGGGCAGTACTGGGCTGTGTCCAGTCCTGAGCGGACCCCCTCAGCTGTGGCCACCTATCCCACTTAAGGGTGGAACTGGACCTCAAAGTGGGGGCCGTGTCCTTCTATGCTGTGGAGGACCTGCACTCACCTCTACACTTTCCGTGTCAGCTTCCAAGAGCGTGTGTTCCCCCTTTTCTCTGTCTGCTCCACTGGCACCTTCTTGCGAATCTGGCCTTGAGAGACATTGCCAAGCCTCCAGAGGGAGCGGGTCAGTCAAGGGTTGAAGAATACATAGATTATCGCATATTCACTTTTAAAGGCAATTATAAGTATATTTTTTGGTAATTATCAGTACATTTTTAAGTTTTAAAAGAATAAAAATGGTTGTGTATTTATCACTACCACTACTGAGTTGTTGATAGACCTAGAATTGTTAAATTTCCAAAATCTTCAATCTTGAATATTACAGTACCAAAAGATTAAAAGAGAGGTAGATATTTATCAGTCTTATTTTTCTTATTAAAATAGATTTTTTTTTTAAATATATTTTATTGATTTGTTACAGAGAGGAAGGGAGAGGGATAGAGAGTTTGAAACATCGATGAGAGAGAAACATTGACCAGCTGCCTCCTGCATACCCCTACTGGGGATGTGCCCGCAACCAAGGTACATGCCCCCGACCAGAATTGAACCTGGGACCCTTCAGTCCGCAGGCCGACGCTCTGTCCACTGAGCCAAACCAGTTAGGGCTAAAATAGATTCTTGATCAAGCAGTTCTCATTAGGAGAATTAATTTGTAAATTCCCAAAGAGAATTAATAAATCTAAGGATTTATTAATCTTATTTTCTACATGTGCAGATAGGTCAGCATTTGTTTTCATTACTATGACGTAACTTTAGTAAAATAAACAAAGGAAATTAACTTGGCTATTTGTTGTTACTAGTAAACTGTTTTGTAAGAAGATTGAGAGACTATTTGATCCTGAGTACTTGAACCCAGATTCTCGGAATACTGCAGCAACGCTGTACAGGTATGGTGGCATGCTTTTCTTTGGTAGGCTGTATGATGCAGCTAAAATCTTTAATTTACTATATTTACATTTTCCTTCTTGTATGTTTTTATATCAATTTTTGTTATAGATGCTGTTTGTGTAAGAAACTTTTAACAAAAGAAACAGAAAGAAGAATTTCTTGCATTCCTGGAAAAATCAATGTGGATCGACATGGAAATCTTGTGTATATTCACATAAGGTGTAGTGAAAATAAAATACAGCTTTTCAAATGTAAATTACTAGTGTATTTATAGAAGCATAACTACTCCTATAAGGAATAGGATATATTTTCTGCATGTGATCCAACTTTGATTTAGAGCAGTGGTTCCCAAAGTGGGGCACATGGCCCACAATGGGGCAATTTGGTTTTTTGTTTTGTTTTGTTTTTTTAAAATATATTTTATTGATTTTTTATAGAGAGGAAGGGAGAGGGATAGAGAGCTAGAAACATTGATGAGAGAGAAACATTGGTCAGCTGCCTCCTGCACACCCCCTACTGGGGATGTTGCCTGCAACCAAGGTGCATGCCCTTGACTGGAATTGAACCTGGGATGTTTCAGTCCGCAGGCCAATACTCTATCCACTGAGCCAGACTGGTTAGGGCCAATTTGGTTTTTAAGGGGGGCAATTTGAGAATGAGTTATTAACAGTGAATTTTTTGCATTTCTTATGGTTCTAGGGGCCTCATATACAGTATGTAAATATATATTGTGACATATTTATGCATTTTAGTTCTCTTATATGTTTATTTGCATGTTAAACTTTATTTGCAATTTTTTATATCACTTTATATTATTATTATTATTATTATTAGAGCCTGGTGCACGAAATTCGTGCACTAAGGGGGGGTTTCCCTCAGCCCAGCCTGCACCCTCTCCAATCTGGGACCCCCTCAGGGGATGTCCGACAGCCAGTTGAGGCCTGATCCCTATGGGATCGGGCCTAAACCAACAGTCGGACATCCCTCTCACAATCCGGGACTGCTGGCTCCCAACTGCTCGCCTGCCTGCCTGCCTGATTGCCCCAACCACTTCTGCCTGCCAGCCTGATCACCCCCTAACCACTCCCCTGCCAGCCTGATTGATGCCTAACTGCTCCCCTGCCGGCCTGATCGCTCCCAACTGCCCTCCTATCCTCCCCTGCCGGCCTGGTCCCCCCCAACTGCCCTCCCCTGCTGGCCATCTTGTGGCTGTGGGTGCCGCCATCTTTGAGGGCATGGCGGTCAATTAGCATATTCTGCCCTTATTGGCTGTGGACACTGCCATCTTTGAGGGCATGACAGTCAATTAGCATATTCCCTCCTTATTGGCTGTGGGTGCCGCCATCTTTGTGACGCTGTCGGGTCAATTAGCATATTCCCTCTTTTTTTTTCTTTTTTTTCTCTTTTATTTATTTTTATTTTTTTATTTTTTATTTATATTTTTTTTATTTAATCTTTAAATTCTTTATTAGTTAAGGAATTACAAATGTGTCCTCATTCCCCCCCATTAACCTTGATTAGGTAAGATTTTTTAAACAATTTCTTAGTGATTTGTTCCTTAGTACTTCAGCTGCCCTTTCATTCTTTTGTTTTTCTCTTTCATGGATGCCATGTACTTTGGAAGCTTGTTTAGACCAAGTTAATGGCCTTTTAGGCTTCCTCCTACATGAATAGGAGTTCACTTTTTGAAGAATAAGAATTATGTCACAGGGGGCATCAGGATTTCAGAGATGCTTAGGTGGGGCATGGCCAAAAAGAATGGTTGGGAACCAGTGATTTAGAGAGATGCTATTTCCAAAACAAAATTGTTTTAAAGGCTATGTCTTATTGACTGGGTAAGTATATTTTTTAAGTTTTAAAAGGATAAAAATGGTTGTGTATTTATCTCAAAAGATATTTTGATCAGTACCATTACAATTATTTCTTGTTACTAAAAGATTTTAGTTATCTATATAAATGTTACTTTGAATATGACAAGAGAACCAAGTTTACTTTCAGGTGAATTTTTGTAAATGAGGAAAATTGTCTTTAAAATTGAATATTCCATAATCTATGTATTCTTCATATTTTGTCAATATTCCATTAATACATAGTGTTTTTTTTATTCCCCTTTAAGTTCAAAACCAGTTCTCATTCTGAGTTGGAGGGAGAGTGTTGTTAAATGGTATGTCTCAAGAAAGCAAAAACTTTCAAATATATCCTACTCCTAGGAATTAACACAAAGAGGTAATATTGGATTTGTGAAAGCATTTAATAAGGACATTTATTGCTATGTTGTTTAAATTTTAAAAGGGAAACACCCAAATAATTAAACAACCTAAAATATCTATACAATAATGTATATAAAGCACCGCTAATCAATTCTTAATGTGCAGCCTTTGAGAATAATGTTGTAAAGGACTATATACTTACATATAAAGTTGTTAGTGGTAAATTAAGTGAAAAGAAGAACAGGTTATAAAACAAAACTAGAAACATGCCCACTAAAATGTTAACAGTGTTACCATTGAGTGAGTATTATGGATGGTTTTAATTTTCTTTGTGCTTGTTCTTTTTTCTGCATTAAAAATGTGCACCACTTTTACTAAAGAAAAAAACTACAAATGTTAATTTCATAGTTTAAACATTAAAATGGAAGTACAGAAAACATATTTGACCTTAATATGCATAGCATAGTCAACTTTAAAATGTTTCATTTTTCTCTTCATACAATAATCAGGGAATCTTTTTAGTTATTATAAGCACCTGGGATTTTATACTTTTTTGTCTTGAGACTTGTTTCATATTTTTAAAATTATGTCCATTCTGGCCCTAACCAGTTTGGTTCAGTTATGCCTGCGGACTGAAGGGTCCCAGGTTCAATGCCGGTCAAGAGCAGGTTGCAGGCTCCTCCCCGGCTCGGGCCCTGGTCAGGGCTCATGCAGGAGGCGACCAGTCGATGTGTTTCCTCTCACATCAGTATTTCTGTCTTTCCCTCACTCTTCTACTCTCTCTAAAAATCAATGGAAAAATATCCTCAGGTGAATATTAAAAAAAATTATGTCCATTCTGCCCTGGCCAGTGTTGTCAGGGTCAGTGTTTCTCTCTCTCTCTCTCTCTCTCTCTCTCTCTCTCTCTCTCTCTCTCTCTCTCTCTCTCTCTCTTCCTCTCTCTAATATCAGTTTTCAATTATTTTGAAAATTATTTCCATTCTGATAGCAATAACTATTATGTATTCTATATATATTCTGACATTAGGAACTATGAAAAAAATTGATAACTTCAACATCCATTTTTGTTTTATTCAAAGTATTTTAGCAAGTCAGCTGTTGATGACATTTTAAAAAATTGTCTTTAACTTAAAACAGATGTGCCTATGTAAATTGCAATAATACGATGTCATTTTGTTATTTGTTAAGGACAAAAATAGCAAAAGTCTGAAAAGATGCCCTGGCCGGTTTGGCTCGGTGGATGGGGTGTCTGCCTGTGGACTCAAGGGTCCCAGTTCGATTCCGGTCAGGGGCATGTGCCTTGGTTGGGGGCACGTCCCCAGTGGGGAGTGTGCAGGAGGCGGCTGATCGATGTTTCTCTCTCATCAATGTTTCTAGCTCTCTGTCCCTCTCCCTTCCTCTCTGTAAGGCAATCAATAAGATATATTTAAAAAAAAAAAAAGTCTGAAAAGATCAAGGAACTTGGGGAAAAAAATAGGAACTTGAGTTACATATGACCATAGCAAATAGGGTTTTAAGCCTTTGTTTTTTTTTTAAATACCCTTTTTATTGATTTCAGAGAGGAAGGGAGAAGGAGAGATAGAAACATTAATAATGAGAGAGAATCATTGATTGGCTGCCTCCTGCACTCCCCACACTGGGGATTGAGCTTGCAACCCAGGCATGTGCCCCTGACCAGGAATCAAACCGTGGCCTCCTGGTTCATAGGTCAATGCTCAGCCACTGAGCCATGTCAGCCAGGTGCCTTTGCTATTTTTAAAGTTGATCTCAACATAAAAATGTATATTACCAAGACCTAATTATATATTACTATATTATTTAATTACTAAAAAATACCTCCTGAGAATAATATAAACATATTAATGAAATGTTTAGAATCACCCATAATTAACAACTTATTATATAATATGTACAATTAGAATAAAGCAACATATGTCGAAGCCCCAAATGTTAGCCTACGCAAACTTTATTTAACTTATAATCCTTTATGTAGCTTAGCAAAATAATTTGGCATTCAACCATTCATACCTTTTCCTATTATCCACAAAAAAAATAAAGCATAAACAGACTCCCAAAGGATATTTTACCTACTGTTCAGTCCATTCTACAACTATTAGTTACGGACTATTCTTGGATATAAACCACAAATTTAAAAGCATTTGCCCTAAACAATTGTTAATATTGATTTCTTGTAAAATAATATAACAATTGATGCTCTTTCCCCAGAGATAAGACTTGGGATGTTCATGAGTATTTGAATAGTCTTTTTGAAGAATTAAAATCTTGGAGAGATGTATATTGGCGCTTGTGGGGAACAGTCAACTGGCTAACTTGTTCGAGGTGTTTTCAGGTGAGTTTTTAAAAATATATCCTGCTCTGCAAACATTGAGAGCAGATTCTTTGGTATATGCTATTAAATTAGTATATTTGGATGTGTTTTGACAATATCTAACATCTTTATAAGAATTTGGTGGCAAAAGCGGTTCTATTAAACATTGCTTACATCTGACTTAATTTCTCTTACTATGTTTCTTCTTCCTCTTTATTTTCATTGTTGAAACAATCAGTGACTTGCTGAATTTTTAGAAAACCAACAGGTTATAAGTGACCAAATACATTTTTCCAATTATTTCCAGCTAAACTGTTTCTCTGTTGGCCCATACATTTCTTTATTTTTTTACTTGTACTTATTTATTTTAAATCAATTTTACCTTTCTTTAATATCACTTTGCTTTCTCGAAGCCTATCTTTGTTCATTCTGTAACATTTCATGAGCACATACTAATGTGCCAAACACTCTTCCTTGCCAGGTGAAGAGCACTGAACTGGGCTGTCACCTTTATTTTCATTTAAAAGTCAAACATCAAATGTAAATGGTAGCCCATGCATTTCTTTAGAAACACCTTTGCAGATAGGATGCTATTGACATATCACTTCTTGTTATAACAGCTGTGTTCCCAAAGGGTTTTGTTCATTTTTTAATAAATGAGTCTATAATAAAAGCACAGGAAAGCTTGCTTTGTGAAGGTACCTATAATAAATCCTTTTATAGAATAAATAGATCTTTATAGATCACAATCATTCCTAATTAGGCTTATGTATAAACTAGAGGCCCAGTGCACAAAAATTTGTGCACTTGAGGGGTCCCTCAGCCCGGCCTGTGCCCTCTTGCAGTCTGGGCCCCTTGGGGGATGTCCACCTGCTGGCTTAGGCCCGCTCTCCAGGATACTGGGCCTAAGCTGGCAGTCAGACATCCCTTTGGCAGCCCAGGAGTCCTTGGAGGATGTCCACTTGCCAGCGGGGAGCAGGCCTAAGCTGCAGTTGGACATCCTTAGCGCTGTTGAGGAGGCAGGAGAGGCTCCCGCCACCACTGCTGTGCTGGCAGCTGGCAGCCTGGCTTGTGGCTGAGCAGAGTTCCCCCTGTGGTAGCGCACTGACCACCAGGAGGCATCTCCTGCATTGAGCGTCTGCCCCCTGGTGGTCAGTGTGTGTCATAGTGACCAGTCATTCCCAGTCTTTCTGCTGTTAGGGTCAATTTGCATATTACCCTTTTATTATATAGGATAGAGGCCTGGTGCACGGTTGGAGGCCATTTGGTTTGCCCTGAAGGGTGTCCCAGATCAGGGTGGGGGTCCTGCTGGGGTGCCTGGCCAGCCTGGGTGAGGGGCTGAGGGCCGTTTTCAGGCTGCCCACAGCCCCTTCAGGGTGGGGGAGTCCCATTGGGGTGCCTGGCCAGCCTGGGTAAGGGGCTGATGGCCGTTTTCAGGCTGGCCACACCCCCCGGCAACCCAAGCTCCCAGCCTCTCCTTTTTTTCTTTTTCTGGGATTTATTTATCTTCTATAATCGAAACTTTGTAGCCTTGAGCGTAGCCCAGGGCCGGCCAGGGCAGGCAGGAAGCTTGGCTTCCTGCGTTGCTGGGTGCAAAACAAACCTCCTGCTCACTCCAGCTCCATGGCCGCTGCCATCTTAGTTGGGTTAATTTGCATACTTGCTCCTGATTTGCTGGTGGGCATGGCTTGAGTGTAGCGGAGGGATGGTTGATTTGCATGTTTCTCTGTTATTATATAGGATTCAGAGTGTTCCACATAACGTTTTTTTTTAATATGTTTGTATTGATTTCAGAGAGGAAAGGAGAGGAAGAGAGAGAAACATCAATGATGAGAGAATCATTGATCGGCTGCCTCGTGCATACCCCCTACTGGGGATCAAGCCCACAACCTGGGCATGTGCCCTTGACCAGAATCAAACCTTTCAGTCCGCAGGCTGACAGTCTATCCACTGAACCAAACCAGCCAGGGCTACGTAAAATTTTTTATGACTCCCTAATGTCTTCCTGCCCCCAGTAATTTTCCTCTCTCACTTGAGTAATGATTTTAAGTAGAGTGAAGGAAGAGCTACTTATTAAAACCTTCAGAGTGAGGTTTCTCAAACTGTATAGGTTTATACCAGCCATGGGCAAACTACGGCCCGCGGGCCGGATCCGGCCCGTTCGGCTGTTCTATCCAGCCCGCGGAGCTGAAAGAGCGGAGGGTTCTTTTGCTCTCCCCTCCTCTCCTTCACCAGCAGCAGTGTTAACATGTATTAGTTCACACAAACACTCCATCCATGCTTTTGTTCCGGCCCTCCGGTCCAGTTTAAGAACCCATTGTGGCCCTCAAGTCAAAAAGTTTGCCCACCCCTGGTTTATACCCAATGGACTCCCTGTGTCCCCTCAATTTTTAAAAATTGGACTTATTGAAGTATAATTTATATACAGTAAAATTTACCTTTATACAGTAAAATCAATTCCTTTTAAGAGGTTTGACACAGTTATGTAACTACCACCACAATCAAAACATAAACCAGTTCCATCACCCTGAAAATTTCTTTTGCCTGTTTGTAGTCAGTTCCTTCTTCCATCCCCGACTCTGGCAATCACTGACTTGTTTAAGTGTCTTTATAATTTTGACTCTTCCAAAATGTCATACAGATACTATTATAACATTTTTTACTTTTTGGGTCCAGATTTTTTTATCTAGTAAAATGGACTTGAAATATTTATTCATTCACCAGTGAAGAATTTTGTAGGTGTTTCTAGTTTTGGACTATTATGAAGAAAGCAACTATAAACATTTCCTATAGACTTTCATGTAAATACTAGTGGCCCAGTGCATGAAATTCATGCACATTAAAAGGGAATTACTTAGAGGAAATATTGCTATTTGCCCTTTCTCTATAATAGAAGTGTCAGAGATGAAAGAAAATTAGTAAAATGTATATGAAAATCTCCCTCCTGTCAGAGTCTGAGGCGCACCACAGGACCCAGAGTCAAGTCCCTGCCCACCTGTCCGCGCCTTGAAATCGCACAAGACCCAGACCCAGCAGCCCCACCCCTGTCAAGCCCCGGAGGGCCAGAGGCGCAGCCTCAGGTCCCCCAGCCCAGCCTCAGGTCCTCTGGCCCCAGTGTGACGGCATGATGACTATTTGCATATTAGCTCTTTATTATATTGGATAGATTTTCCCCTTGGGTAACCTAGAAGTAGGATTGCTAGATTGCATGGTAAATGTAATCCCAACAGTTTTCCCAAGTCCTGAACTTGCATTCCTCTCAGCTGTCTCTGAGAGGTCTAGTTGCTCCACATTGTCACTAGCACTTGATATTGTCAAGTTGGTGTTTATGTTTTTTGTAAATTTAATAGCTGTAACATCATCTATAATAATAAACGGGTAATATGCTAATTAGACCGGATGTCATTCCGGACATCCTTCGGGATGAAACCAGGGGCCAGAGAGAAGCCTGGGTCCCAGGTGGCAGAGGGAAGCCATTGCCGGCAGCCAAGGGAAGGGAGGCCTACTCTTGCACGAATTTCGTGCATCAGGCCACTAGTATCACTTATAATCAAGAATATCAGGTTTCTAAAACCTGACTTGTTTAGCTTGTCAGAAGATAGAAAATTTGAGGGATTTTTTTTCTCCTTTATAGAAAATTGAATATTAATTTATAGCATTTAACATTTATTATGGAGAGTTCATAAACTCAAAAAATAATTTGTATGCTAAATACTTTGTGTGTGAGTGTATGCCTTATAGCTTTTATCATACTCAAAAAATTTTAATTAAAAATCGTTTGAAAATCAACTAGAACTAACAAGTAAGTATTCTGAATTATAGATTATCCTTTTTTGCCTTTGTGTTCAAGATCAGTGCTTAACCCTAGCCAGTTTGGCTCAGTGAACAGAGTGCTGGCTGGCCTGTGGACTAAAGGGTTCCAGGTTCAATTCTGGTCAAGGGCATGTACCTCAGTTGTAGGCTCAATCCCTGGCCCTGGTTGGGGTATGTGTGGGAGGCAACCAATCAATTGTCTCTCTCACATCAGTGTTTCTCTCTCTGTCTCCCTCTCTTTGTTCCACTCTCTCTAAAAATCAATGGAGCCCTAGCTGGTCTGGCTCAGTGGATAGAGTGTCGGCCTGCAGACTGAAGAATCCCGGGTTTGATTTCAATCAAGGGCACATGCCCAGGTTGCAGGCTCGATCCCCAGTGGGGGACATGCAGGAGGCAGCCAATCAATGATTCTCATCATTGATATTTCTTTCTCTTTCTCCCTCTCCCTTCCTCTCTGAAATCAATAAAATACATATATAAATATATGATCAAAAAATAATATAAAATAAACAAAAATCAATGGAAAAATATCATTGGGTAAGGATTAACAACAAAAATAAAGATCAGTGCTTAAAATGATTAATTTTGTTATTTTCTTTAAATTATTTTTATCAACTTATAAACACATCTGGATTGTATGGTAAATGTAACTCTAACAGTTTATTACTTTTTAAAAAACAGTTTATTTTATAATTAAACCTTGATGTTTCTTTACCAATGATTCAGAGTTACTCCATTGTTTTCATTAATACTAATGTTAAATATTTATCTTAAAATGCAAAGAATAATCAAGACAAAATTTTATTTCATTATTTTTACTGGAAACTTTTTATATGATTGGCTATTGTAAAATTAGATGTACATCAAGATCAATTAATTCATCTGAATTTTGAGTAAAGTGTTCTTGGTTTTTCTTTTTAATAATTTTATTGAGGTATAATTATATGCCATAAAATTCATTCATTTTAAGTATACATTTTAGTAAACTTAGAGTTGTGTAACCATCACCACCATCCAATTTCAGTACATTCCCATTACCCCCAGAAGATTGCTTGTGTCCATTTGCTGCCACTCCCCAATCTTATCTCCAACCTCAGGCAACCACAAATCTACTTTGTGTCTCCAGAGATTTGATACTTCTGTACTTTTTATGTAAAGGGAACATACAGTATGTGATCTTGATTAAAGTATTTTTGAGATGTAGATTTCAATGTGGTAATAATAATTGATTTTATATTTTTCTTTTATTTAGGTTTTCCTCTGCACAGAATTTTCACATTGTCAGTATCACTCAGAAGCGGTGATTTATCCTCCTGCAGCCAGTTCACTTAGTACTGTGGGCACTGGAATTTATCCCTGCTGTAACCAGAAGGTCCTTCGGTTTGATCCTACTCAGTTGACAAAGGTAAAGGTAAAGGATTGATGGTATTACAGTATTGCAATGAGCATCCTTGCACATGCATCTTGGTACAATACTTGAGTATTGCCATAGGTTAGAGTCCTTGATCATTAACACTTTTGAAAATCTTATGTAATTAAATTTCATGAGTGCTGAAAGGAACCTAAAGCTCCTTCTCATCATCCTCCATACAACAAATACAGGGTGGGGCTAAAGTAAGTTTACAGTTTTTGTATGAAGAATAATACAATAATTAATAGATAACAATACTGGAATAAACTCTGTATTTCCCATACTCACGGCTATACACCTACTTTTATCTCTCCCCGTCTCCCACATTTATAAAGTACTAAAGTTGCAAGTACTTTGTGCAAGACAAAGAGTAGTGTATAAATTAGATAGTTTCTGTCTTAATGGAGCTTTATAGTTCAGGTAATATCAAAAGGGAAAAAAGCACACAAAGAAATGTTGGAAGAAGTATTCAGAGTTATAATGTCTGTAATAGGCTGGTTTTACCTGGCCACGGAAGCCAAGGAATGCCTTCTTAAGGAGTTGGTATTTCGTTGATGAAGGGAAAGAGCCCTCCAGTCAAAACAGCAAGTCCAAAAGGAGCACAGTGAATATGAGAGACTGAAAGAAACCATGCTTGTTACAGAAAACATGACAGTTCAAGACAAGGCTGGAGATGCTGGAGATGTCAGGCCATGGACGGACAGGACCTCATAAGCCATGTTTGAGTTTTTTTCTTCATTTCAAGTTTTTGAAAATATCAGTTGTGTGGAGAATGGCTTGAGGAAGAATCAGTGGAATTAGGGTCAAGAAGTTATTACATAGCCTTAGAGAATGATGATGGTAACTTGGACTAGGGTAATGGCAATGAAGAGAAATAGATGAATTCTATTTAGGACATAAAACTGATTGATGGATTGTATCATAGAGGGAGAAGGATGACTCAGTTTCATGCTTGTGCTACTTGATAGATGGTGGTATTATTCATTGAAGAGGAAACAACAGAAGGGAATTAGGTTTGGAGAGAAGCTCATGAGTTCTATTTTGGGCATTTTTTGAATGTGAGATGCTCTGAGGTAACCAGGCAAAGAGTTAAATATATGGGTTTGTGTTCTCAGAGGAGTGGCTAGGCTGAAGATAATAATTTGTAACTCTTCTTGCAAATAAATGATGCTTGAAGCCACGAAGTATAGGTGAGCACAAGATCAGAGGCCCTGCAATGGAACCTAGAGAAACTCTAACATTTAATGGCTAGAGAAGCATGAGCTACAAAGAATAATAATCAGGAATAGCCAGAATAATAGGAGGGAAATGAAGAATGTTGCCATGAAAGTCAAGAGAGTAGTGTTTAAAGAACGAGAGAGTGGTCCACAATGTCAAACATTGATAAGAAATCAAATAAGATAATGAAAGAAATGAGTTTTGGCTTTGTTGACTGGGAATTCAGAGGTGTGAAGAACTGTTTTGTTGTTACCCAGATCCTGAAGCCACATTAGTGTGGGCTGAAACATGAGTGAAAGAACAAATGGAGGCAACTCTTTCTCAAATTTCCCAACTCTTTTGGGAAATTTGAGAAAGGAAGAAGATGGATCAGTAATCAGGTTATGAGTATTTGTTTATTGTTTTTGTTTTATTTTGTTTTTATAGGAGAGACCTATTTATTTTTAAAATATATTATTGATTTCAGAGAGGTATAGAGAGGGAGGGAGAGATAGAAACATCAATGATGAGAGAGAATAATTGATTGACTGCCTTCTGCATGCCCTCTGCTGGGGATTGAGCCTGCAACCTGGGCATGTGCCCTGAGCAGGAATCAAACCATGACCTCCTGGTTTATAGGTTGACACTCAACCACTGAGCCATGCCAGCAGTGCAATAAAAATATTTTTTTAAAAAGATTGCCAGGTAATTTATTTTTAGGGGGGAAAAAGGCATTTAGTTAAATCAATTGTATTTCTATAAACCAGTGAGGTTACCTAGAAATAATTGTAACAAATAATGTGCAAGAATGCTATAGAGAAAACAAAACATTATTGAGAGAAAATAAAACTAAAAACTGGATTGTTGTACCAGGTTCCTAGATTAGAAAACTCAGTATTGTAGAGATGTAAAAGTTCACCAAACTTATCTATATAGATAATGCAATCTCAATAAATATCCTAATGGTTTTATTGGGAACTTTGCTTACCTGATTCTAAAATGTATATAGAAACTCAGAGGACCAAGAATAGCTAAAATAACTTCAAAGAACACCAAGATAGAAAAGTACTTGCTCTGCCCAATATTAAAATCTACACTAATAAAAGAGAAAGATGCAAATTGACCATACCTTTGTGACGCCCACCAGCCAATCAGGCGTGAGTATGCAAATTAACCCAACAAAGATGGTGGGTTAATTTGCATATGCAGGCACTGAGTGGCTGGGGGCAGGGCGGGACGCAGGCATTCTGCACCACCCCAGCCCCTCCAGGCCTCTGGGCAGCGTGGGAAGGTGGAAAGGCAGCTCCAGGCCAGAACAAAGGCAGTGCTGGCAGCCAGGGGAAGGAAAGCCCATTCTTGCACGAATCTTTGTGCATTGGGCCTCTAGTCCATACTAATAAAAGGGTAATATGCTAATTATACCAAATAGACCGGATGTCTTCTGGATGTCCTTCCTGACACAGCTGGGGGCGTGGCCAGCCTGCACACTGCATGTGGCCCCTCATCCAGGCCAGCCCCGTCCCAAGTGGGGACCCCCACCCTGATTGGGGGCAGGGCCAGCCTGCAAACCCCCCAGCCCCTCGCCCTGGCCAGCTCCATCATCCCCCAGCAGAGACCCCCCCTCTGTCCCTATCCAGGGCCCCCTTCAGGGCAGGCCAGCCAGTCCCCACCTGTGCACCAGTCCTCTATCCTATATAATAAAAGGGTAATAAGAAAATTGACCCTAACAGGAGAATGACAAGAACGAGCTGGACCAGTCACTACTGACCACCTCTTGGTCCCTTCCCCTGGCCATCAGGCACCGATCACCCAATGGCGAATGGGAAACTGGGGGTGGATGATGGCGGGGGGTGGGGCTGGCTGCGGGCAGCTTGGGAAGATGGCCCTGATCGCAGGCCAGGCCTAGGGACTGTCCCCACACACGAATTTTGTGCACCAGGCCTCTATTATACAGCTTTGGTATTTAAGACAGGGTGATATTGCCCAGCTAGTGTGGCTCAATGATGGAGTGTCAAGCTATGACCAGGAGGTAACAGTTTGATTCCTGGTCAGGGCACATGCCTGGGTTTCGGGCTTGATCCTGGTGTGCAGCGTGCAGGAGGCAGCTGATGGATGATTCTCTCTCATCACTGATGTTTTTATCTCTCTCTCCTTCTCCCTCTCTGAAATCAATAAAAATATCTACTTACGTAAAAACCCTGGGTGGTGTAACATCACGACCGGTCTGGCAACCAAGCAGAAGGAAGTCAGTCCTGCAGGGGTTGTCTTGGAAATGGCTGCACCCTCCCCTGAGCTGTTTCCGGTGAGGGCAGGGTTTGAGGCAGGAACCCGCCCTTGGAGTGTGGAGGCATATCTTTATAAAGTGCCACGCCAGCACAGCCAAGGATGAACTTGAGTGGGGGCAGCTGAAAGGCTTAGAAAAGAAAGACAAGAGAATGAAAGCCGGGTCTCGGTGGGATGCTGCTTCTCTGAGAGACAGCGACTACGCCCACAGCCATGTCTTTATTTTATAGCAGATGCCACGAGGCAAAGTAAGGGCATGACCAATATGTTTACAATATTCTCCTGGGTTTCAATCCTACTCAACTACATGCACCTGAACTCTATCAAGCCTACATCACTCAGGCACGTGGGGCCATGTGTTCGGACCATAGGTTCAAGCTTACAACTATAGCTGTTGGCTGTAATTGTGCTGGGAGGGCCCTGCCCTCCAAGCTGGGACTTGCACGTGGCAATGAGAGGACTGTGCCCTCTCATCAGTCCAAGGCTTGAACCTGTCCAAAATACTGTAGCAGCTCCCCACAATAAAGTTTTAATCTACTTATATAAAAACCCTGAGTGTAACATCACGGCTAGAAGCGTGTCCAACCAGAAGGAAGTCAGTCCTGCAGCGGTCGTCTTGGAAACAGCTGCGCCCTCCCCCAGCTGTTTCCTGGAGGGCGAAGTTTCAGGCAGGAACCCGCCCTCGGAGCAGAGCATGGAAGTGAAATTATTTGTAATGGATCTATTATTGAAGCTAACTTTGGAAATATCTATAGATCAGTGGTTATCAACCTTGGCTGCACGTTAGAATCACCTGGGAATCTTTTTAAAATCCTGATTTCTGGGCCTCATCCTCCGGAAATTCTGTTTCTTTGTTACTAATGTTGTGGCCCCTCCCCGTAACAAAGAAACAATTTCTGGAGGACGAGGCCCAGGAATCAGGATTTTAAAAAGATTCCCAGGTGATTCCAATGTGCAGCCAAGGTTGAGAACCACTGCTATAGATGATATTAAAAATATATCTAAACGTGCAATTCTTTGTCCAAAAAATGAGCATGTTCAAAAATTAAATGAAGAAAATTTGGATATCCTCGATGGAGATTTTCACACATATTTGAGTGATGATTCCATTGATTCCACAGACGATGCTGAAAAGGAAAATTTTCCCATTGAATTTCTTTTTTTTTCTTTCTTTTTTTTAAAATATATTTTATTGATTTTTTACAGAGAGGAAGGGAGAGAGATAGAGAGTTAGAAACATCGATGAGAGAGAAACATCGATCAGCTGCCTCCTGCACATCTCCTATTGGGGATGTGCCCGCAACCCAGGTACATGCCCTTGACCAGAATCGAACCCGGGACCCTTCAGTCCGCAGGCCGACGCTCTATCCACTGAGCCAAACCGGTTTCGGCCCCATTGAATTTCTTAATAGTATTACTTCTTCAGGAATGCCGTGTCATAAATTAAAATTGAAAGTGGGGCCTTGACTGGTTTGGCTCAGTGGATAGAGCGTCAGCCTGTGGACTGAAGGGTCCCAGGTTCGATTCCAGTCAAGGGCACGTACCTTGGTTGCAGGCACATCCCCAGTGGGGGTGTTCACGAGGCAGCTGATCGATGTTTCTAACTCTCTATCCCTCTCCCTTCCTCTCTGTAAAAAAATCAATAAAATATATTTTTAAAAAAAATTGAAAGTGAGTGCAATCATCATGCTATTGAGAAATCTCAATAGTAAATGGGGTCTTTGTAATGGTACCAGATTTATTATCAAAAGATTACGACCTAACATTATTGAAGCTGAAGTATTAACAGGATCTGCAGAAGGAGAGGCTGTTCTGATTCCAAGAATTAATTTGTCCCCATCTGACACTGGCCTCCCATTTAAATTGATTCGACGACGGTTTCCCACAATGCCAGCATTTCTGATGACTATTGATAAATCACAAGGACAAACTCTAGACAAAGTAGGCATATTCCTACCTGAACCCGTTTTTGCACATGGTCAGTTATATGTTGCTTTCTCTCGAGTATGAAGAGCATGTGATGTTACAGTTAAAGTTCTAAGTACTTCATCACAAGGGAAATTAGTCAAGCACTCTGAAAGTGTTTTTACTCTTAATGTGGTGTACAGGGAGATATTAGAATAAGTTTAATCACTTTATCAGTCATTGTTTGCATCGCTGTTGTTTTTTGTTTTGTTTTTTAATTCTTTATTAGTTAAGGTATTACAAATGTGTCTTTATCCCTCCCCCATTAACTCCCCCCCCCCCCACTCATGTTCTCATCCCCCTGTTGTCCATGTCCATTGGTTTGGCTTATATGCATGCATACAAGTCCTTTGGTTGATCTCTTCCCCTTGCCCCCTCCCTCGCCTACTTTCCCTCTGGGGATTAATAGTCTGCTGTTTCTGTCTTTGGATCTGTCCCTGTTCATCAATCTATGTTGTTCTCTATAATCCACAAATGAGTGAGATCATGTGGTATTTGTCTTTCTCTGACTGGCTTATTTCACTTAGCATAATGCTCTCCATTTCCATCCATGTTGTTGCAAAAGGCAAGAGTTCCTTCTTTTTTACTGCAGCATAGTATTCCACTGTGTAGATGTACCACAGTTTTCTAATCCACTCATCTGCTGATGGGCACTTAGGCTGTTTCCAAATCTTAGCTATGGTGAATTGTGCTGCTATGAAAATAGGGGTGCATATATCCTTTCTGATTGGTGTTTCTGATTTCTTTGGATATATTCCTAGAAATGGGATCACTGGGTCAAATGGGAGTTCCATTTTTAGTTTTTTGAGGAAGCTCCATACTGTTCTCCACAGTGGCTGTACCAGTCTGCATTCCCGCCAGCAGTGCAGAAGGGTTCCTTTTTCTCCTCATCCTCTCCAACACTTGTTGTTTGTTGATTTGTTGATGATAGCCATTCTGACAGGTGTGAGATGATACCACATTGTCGTTTTGATTTGCATATCTCGTATAATTAGTGACTTTGAGCATGTTTTCATATGTCTTTCGGCCTTCTGTATGTCCTCTTTCGAAAAGTGTCTATTTAGGTCCCTTGCCCATTTTTTGATTGGATTGTTTATCTTCCTATTGTTAAGTTTCATGAGTTCCCTGTAAATGTTGGAGATTAAACCCTTATTGGTGATATCATTGGCAAATATGTTCTCCCATGTAGTGGGTCTTCTTGTTGTTTTGTTGATGGTTTCCTTTGCTGTGCAAAAGCTTTTAATTTTGATGTAGTCCCATTTGTTTATTTTCTCTTTAGTTTCCATTGCCCTAGGAGCATTATCAGCATCACTGTTGTTTTTATATCATGTTTTTGTTGTTTTCATATCATGTTTTTGTTGTTTACATATCATGTTTTTGTCGTTTTCATATCATGTTTTTGTCATTTTTATATCATGCCTCTGTTGTTACATCCTTTTGTTACTGTTTATTTATTAATAAATTTATATATTATTTTCATATACATTTTACTAATTTCCTTTCATCTTTCACACTTCTATTATAGAGAAAGGGCAAATAGCAATATTAAAACATCTCTGCTAATTAATTCCCTTTTTTAAAAAAATATATTTTATTGATTTTTTACAGAGAGGAAGGGAGAGGGATAGAGAGTTAGAAACATTGATGAGAGAGAAACATCGATCAGCTGCCTCCTGCACACTCCCCACTGGGGATGTGCCCGCAACCAAGATACATGCCCTTGACCAGAATCGAACCTGGGACCCTTGAGTCTGCATGCCAATGCTCTATCCACTGAGCCAAATTGGTTAGGGTAATTAATTCCCTTTTAATGTGCACGAATTTCATGCACCGGGCTACTCGTATATATATATATTTAAAAAAAGACAGGGTGATCCTGATGAAGAATAGACTAATGGACCAATAGAAAAGAATAAAGTACTGAGAGCCACTGAATACTTGACTGACACAGGTGTCATTACAGAACAGTGGGCAAAGGATAGACTTTCCAATAAGAGGTGCTGTGACATTGAGATATCCATATGGGGGGAAAATAAAATTAGATTCTAGCCTAAACTATTAAAAAAAGACCTATATGTGGAAGGAAAACAAAGCTATTAAAAGGTAATGCCATGAAGGAAGAGATTTTAAATTCAGGTATATCAACTACATTAAGTAAACTGAAAGTAGGAGACAAACTCACAGGTGGGAGCAGAATTTAGCAACACATCTCCATAAAAGGTTCATATTAAGATTTTTTCCATTACTCTTACAAATTCATAAGAAAAGGACTACAGAAACTCGTACAACAAAGTTCTTTTTTGTTGTCTAGTAAACATGAGAGGAACTCAGCCTCAATAGTAATTGGGGCCCTAGCCAGTTTGGCTCAGTGGAGTGAGTGTCGGCCTGCAGACCAAAGGGTCCCAGGTTCGATTCGGTCAAGGGCACATACCTGGGTTGTGGGCTTGGTCCCCAGTGGGGAGCATGCAGGAGGCAGTAGATCAATAATTCTCTCTCATCATTGATGTTTCTATCTCTCCCTCTCCCTTCCTCTCTGAAATCAATCAAAAATATATTTTAAAAAATAGTAATTGGGGAAAGGCAAATAAAAACCACAATAGAGATACCACTGCATACTCATTAGAATGACTAAAAATGTCTCACCAATTGTTAGTGAGGATATAGAGTAATGAGAATTCTCATACACTGCTGAGAGTAATAGATTTTAGTACGTATTAGCACTTATGTGCCAGGAAACATGTAAAAGAATGTTCATAATAGTATTATTTGTAATAGTTCCAAACTGGAAACAACGCATCTATCAACTGGAGAATAAATAAATGTGTGTATATTCATGTAAAGGAATACTGTACATTAAAGTAAATGTTAGTTACATGCAATAACGTGGTTGAATCATAAAAACATAATATTGAACCAAACAACTGAAGTAAAACTAAATGATAGTATTTAGGGATCCATCCTTACGTGGTAATGGATGAAAACAAGAAGTAAGTTTGGCTCAAATAAACTCACAAAAATTCAAAAAAAACCAAAAACCAAGAAGTAAGTACTTATAAAAGGCAGGATAGAGGTTATCTTTTGGGAGAAAAGAGGCAGGTATGGACCCTTGGAGAATGGGCCCATGGAGACTCCTGGAGTGTTGCAAATACTCTATTTCTTAATGTGGGTGGTAGTTGCATGAATGCTCTTGGATATTCTTTAGATGTACATTTATGTCTCATGCTCTTTTCTTGAGAAATGCTAAAATGGTTGATATGACCAGACAAAGAAGAACAAAAATGTATGCCTTGGCCGGTGTGGGTAAGTGGTTAGAGCATCAGCCCTCTAACTGAAGGATCCTGGGTTCAATTCCTGGTCAATGGTTCTCTCCCAGACCCCGGTTTAGGGTGCATGCAGGAGACCACCAGTGGATGTGAGAGAGACATCTCTCTATCTCTCTCTCTATCTCTCTCTCTCTCTCTCTCTCTATCTCTATCTCTATCTCCCTCCCTCCTTCCCTTCTCCTCCCTCCCTCCCTTTCACTCTCTCTGAAAAGCAATGGAAAAAATATCCTCAGGTGAGAATTAACAACAACAAAAACATATAGTCATCTTTAAAGGAATGTGTCTATAATGAACCAGGCTCTCCAATTTCATGTCTCTTGTACAACAGGGTTGTAAAGTGAGGGACCACATAGTTGCTCTTCATGATCAAGGTGAAGGTGGAAGTTCGCTGTCCTATCCAACTGCTAGAATACTGGAGGATCTGCACAAACACAAAGATGTCATTGTTGTGCCTTTTTCTAAAGATACAATTAGGTGAGGTTGCGGGTGGGGTGGGGTGGGGTGGGGTGGGGTGGGGTGGGGTGGGAGAGGGATGCTGTACTGCCTATTTATTCAGTGAGTCCATCTCAGAATCCTTTATCCACCTATGCTTCCCCAATCACTAATATCAGTCCTCAAATAGTTTACAGTATTTCTGAAAGCTTAACTAGAATTATATGTTAGCTTACAATAAGAGCAAGCAGGTGTTTATTTGACAGGAAAAGCACTTCAGAATATTGGCGGTCCAGAGGTGGAAAAACTAGTAAAAGGAGTCCTTGGTGATTGAAAGGTTAGGATCCAATTTTTGAGGTGTGTTTTTTTTTTTCTTTTCCCAAGTTACTTAAGCTTGTCCTCAATGCTTGATTGACACAACTGGAAAAATAGTTGATGGTTGAGGTTATCTTTTCATAAATTTGAGCTCCTTGAAGTCAGTAATTTCAGAAGTTACTTCCATCATCTTACACCTACAGCAGGCTGTCAGGTTGAGGGAGGAGGACCCTTAAAAAAGGCTGTTCTCAGGCCAGTACTCATTATAGAAGCCCATTTCACCACCTGGCAAGTATGATGCCTGGAGAGCAATGGTGTGATTTCTGTATGGAGTGATTTCTGTAGGGGAATCTCTAGGTGAATAAAGAAATGTAAAAGTTGAAGTGGCATACCTTATACTAAAGAACTATACTTCTAAAGAGCAATTTATAAAACACTTGCAATAAACAGATATCATTTGCATTTAAATTCTTTAAAAATTGAACACTTCTCCATTAAATGTCTTTTTCTTCCTAGTGATTCTGGGGTTGGTCCCTATGATGAGAAGGGTCTGGACTGTGATATTTTGCTGGAGCCAAATACACCATGGGGCCCCAAAAGTGGGGAGCTCAATGCTGTGAGTAGCTTGTTTCACTTATTCTTTATTTATATAAACAATTGATGACATTTATCTTTGACAGAAACCTGATCAGTTTAAATTGAAGTTGAGCCGAAACCGGTTTGGCTCAGTGGATAGAGCGTCGGCCTGCAGACTGAAAGGTCCCAGGTTCGATTCCGGTCAAGGGCATGTACCTGGGTTGCGGGCACATCCCCAATAGGAGATGTGCAGGAGGCAGCTGATCGATGTTTCTATCTCATCGATGTTTCTAACTCTCTATCTCTCTTCCTTCCTCTCTGTAAAACATCAATAAAATATAAAAATAAATAAATAAATAAATGAATGAATGAATGAATGAATGAATGAATGAATAAATTGAAGTTGAAATTTTTAGTTATAAGTATTTACTGACTACCTGATCATACCACGGTATTATGCTGAGTTAATAGGATTATAAGGATAATAGGGCACATTCATTGTCCTCAAAGAATTAATAACTAATCGACTTTAATTTTGGGGGAAAATATAACATGGCCTTTAGGGTTTTTATTATGGGTAAATAATGATTTGATAAATGAAGATAGTATGAATGGTATATTTTGTCCTCTCCTAGTAGTCCTATAAACTTTTTGGTAAGAAATGCTTTTTTTTTTAATTGTAATCAGGAGTGCATTTAGTTTTTCCAAAATTTCAAAACTGAAATATGACCAGAAAGCTTTGATTCCTGTTGCTAACAGCCAGGAAGTCTCTGTTTACTGGTGAGCTTCCTGCCTTCATGTCGGTTGAAATAGCTTCACTTGAGAAAGTGAAATACTCCCTGTGAAAGAGGTTATAAACTCCAGCTGGCTATAAGTGTTCAATCATTAACATTTATTTCTGAACTGTATACAAAGTAGCAAATTAGATTTCTTGAATATTCATATGTAATCTAGTTCTTTAATTTATAAAAATATAAACATTAAAAAGTGATTGAAATAGTTAAAAAAAACTAATATTGTGTCTACATGTGATTTACTTGTCTTTTGGAAATTACACTAGGAAATGTCTTTTGGGTTTTTGTTTTTTGTTTTGGTAAACATATACATCCTCTCTACACAGGGGTTATAAAGATAATAATCTACCATTTTCAGCCTGAATTTAAAATTATATTTCAACCTGAAAGGGAACTATAGTTGTAACTTTTTAAAATTCTTCTACAATATCCATATGAAAATAAGGATCTGCAACGTGGGTATATGCAGATTTATTAATCTCTTATTCTTTTGTCTTTTTTATAGTTTTTATCACTGAAAAACTGGACTCTGCAACTGGTAAGTAAACAACTATATTCCACTTTCATAGATCTCTTTCTTGCTACAGTTTAGTTTAATATAATGTTATCAACATCTTATTTTATAGATTTTACTTAAACGTTTATCATCTTTTTCAGTGTCTATAATTTTGTACTTTACTAAAAATGTTATTGTTTAAAACAGACACATATTTGCCAAACCAGTTTGGCTCAGTGGATAGAGCGTTGGCTGCGGACTGAAGGGTCCCAGGTTCGATTCCGGTCAAGGGCATGTACCTTGGTTGCGGGCACGTCCCCAGTGGGAGGTGTGCAGGAGGCAGCTGGTTGATGTTTCTCTCTCATCGATGTTTCTAACTCTCTATCCCTCTTCCTTCCTCTCTGTAAAAAATCAATAAAAATATATTAAAAATAAAATAAAATAAAACAGACACATATTCTATTATCTGGCTGTATAATTTATAAGTCTATTAAATGACTTATTAAGAATTATTTTTATGTCACATTTAGAACACTGAACAAAGTAACAAATCTGTAATTTGAACTTTCTAATTATTTGGTCGTTTGATTAGTTGGTTAGTTGATTTTTTTCTTTTCTACCTGTTTGCCATTACTATGCAAATCTGCCATCAGTATTCACAAAAATGGAGTCAGAATTGGATCAGTGATGACAGGCAGTAGGGTGGATAGCTACAGGAAACAGATACGGATACTTTTAAGTAATCTAGGACCCCGCTGACCCGGAGAATGTGTACATGTGCTTGTTTATGAGACTACTTTAATATTGGCAATTACTATATTTTAATTTATTTTTCAATATATTTTTATTGATTTCAGAGAGGGAGAGATAGATTGAAACATCAATGATGAGAATCATTGGTCGGCTGCCTCCTGCATGCCCCACTAGGGATCCAGCCCACAACCCAGGCATGTGCCCTTGACTGGAATTGAACCAGGAGGACCCTTCAGCCAGCAGGCCGGCACTCTATCCACTGAGCCAAACCAGCCAGGGCTATATTTTAATTTATTCTTAATATCAAGGAACATACATTCAGTTAAGTGATGAGGTACGATTTCAGCAAATACTGAGTACCTGTAAGGTGCCCATCACTCTGCTAGAATCTGTGAAGGAAATAAAAAAATATTTGATGTAAAGCAATCCTCAATGTTGTGCTAGGCAGTGGTCATTTTATCAGCTCTTGCTTGGCTCATTCATTGAAAACAAATTTAGATAAATGTGTTTGAAAAAATTCATTAGGGATGTGATAAATACTACATTTTTAATAGGATGTATATTGTTTCTTTAATTCAGAAACAACAGTCATTATTTTCAGAAGAGGAAGAATATACCACCGGATCTGAGGTCACTGAAGATGAAGTTGGAGATGAAGAAGAAGTATCCAGGAAACAAAGTACATTGATTTCTGAGTTAAAAATCAAGCCTTGCCAAAACCGGTTTGGCTCAGTGGATAGAGCACCGGCCTGTGGACTGAAGGGTCCCAGGTTCGATTCCGGTCAAGGGCATGTATCTGGGTTGCGGGCACATCCCCGGTGGGGGATGTGCAGGAGGCGGCTGGTTGATGTTTCTCTCTCATCGATGTTTCTGACTCTCTGTTCCTCTCCCTTCCTCTCTGTAAAAAATCAATAAAATATATTTTTTTTAAAAATCAAGCCTTACTTTTAAAAAAACATTTATTTTTATTTTTGAAAGTATTACAGAGGTTCTCTTTTGTTACCCCCAGTAACCCCTTTCCACCCCTCAACTTCCTCAGGCCTTCACCACACTATTGTCTGTGCATATAAGTTCTTTGGTTAATCTATTCTGCCTCCCCCCACTGCCCTCTGAGATTCATTAGTTTATTCCATACTTCTGTGTCTCTGATTCTATTTTATTCATCAATTTATTTTTTTATTTTTCATTTTTTCTCTCTTTATTGCTCATCAGTTTATTTTATTCATTAGATTCCATATATGAGTGAGATCATATGATACTTCTCTTTCTCTGACTAGCTTATTTCACTTAGCCTAATACTCTCCAGGTTGCTCCATGCTTTCTCAAAGGGTAAAAGATCCTTTTTTTTTTTTTATAGCTTCATAGTATTCTATTGTGTAAATGTACCACATCTTTTTTATCCACTCATCTGCTGATGGGCACGTGGGCTGTTTCCTGATCTTAGCTATTATAAATAGTGCTTCTATGAACATAGGGGTGCATATATTCTTTCTGATTGGTGTTTCCAGATTCATAGGATCTATTCCTAAAGTGGGATCACTGGTCAAATGGCAGTCCCATTTTTATTTTTTGAAGAAACTCCATACTGTTTTCCATAGTGGCTTCACTAGTCTGCATTCCCACTAGGAGAGTACTAGGGTTCCCCCTTTTTCTTTTTAAATTTTTTTTAAATGTATTTTTATTGATTTCAAAGAGGAAGGGAGAGGAAGAGAGTGATAAAAATATCAATGAGAGAGAACCATTGATCGGCTACTTCCTGCATGCCCCCTACTGAAGATCAAGCCCGCAACCTGGGCATGTATTCTGACCAGGAACTGAACCGTGACCTCCTGGCTCATAAATCAATGCTCAACCACTGAGCCATGCCAGTTGGGCTAGGGTTCCCTTTCTCCACATCCTTGCCAGCAATTTTAGTTTTCTTTTTCACCTGTTTGCCATACTGACAGGTGTGGAGTAATATATCGTTGTTTTAATTCGCATCTATCTGGTGATTAGTGACTTGGAGCATTTTTTCATATGTCTCTTGGCCATCTGTATGTCCCCTTTGGAGAAGTACATTGGTTTCTAAATTTAAAACCAAGCCTTACTTTTATGAAGGGGTTGTATTCTGAAGGCTTTAATGCAATGGATGAGGACTTGGCTTTCTAAATCTACATGTTGGTTTATAATATGAAAGAAAATAAAGGAAGCTCCATCAAGATTTCCTAACCCTGGCACTAACACAGAATACTCATAAAATTGTAAAGACAGTGCAGTGTTCTTAGAATCCTCCAAGTTTTTATTTCAGGTGTAACCTTTAATGGGTTTCTCAAAATGTATGACTCACATCATTGTACCTGAGATGATTTGAAGTGACACTCAAATGAAACATTGACTAACAGTTATCAAAATGTGACTTTAAAATTAAAAACATGATTTTATACAACTGGAGAATGAACTTATGTCAAAGATTTTCAAATCACTGGTGAGAGAAATAGCAGAGAAAGTAGTTCAAAGAGCATTTCAAGATTCAGATTTTCCTACAATGCAATAGTCCTATGACCTTTGGGGTTATCTTTTCTACAAGATAGAAATCATTTGCATTTCTATTAAACACAAAAATCTGCAAGTTAACATGAAACTTCATAGAATCTGAGCCCTTAGTCAGTAGTAGATGGGAAAGTCAAACACAAGGACATTCTCTTAGAGAATTAAACAGTCCTTGTGGGTCTGTGTAACAGTCCTCCAGTAGGCACCGAAAGAACTTGCAATCCACCCTTTGTCTTATTTCCAAATTTTATATAATTTTTCTTTAAATGTAGTCCTTTATCAATTATTTTTAAATTCTAATTAGTCAAGGAAGAAAATGCTACTATGTTGTATGTTTTTTTCACAGTTGATTAAGATATAATTTACATGTAATAAGATTTAAAATGTGTACACATTGATGAGTTTTGGCATATGGTTGTATAAACCACCACCAAAATCAAGACCTAGAACATTACTCCAAGAAGTTACCTTCTGCCCCTTTGCACTCAGTCACCTTGCCCCACTCCCAGCCCCAGGTAACCACGGTACGATGCTTTTTGTCAGGATGTTTTACCTTTTCTAACATCTCGGATACTAGTAAGTGAAATTCTGAGTAGGCTTTTATGTCTGGCTTCTTTCACTTACTATGATGTTTTTGAGACTCACCCATATTACATATATTAGTAGTTTGTTCCATTTTATTGCAGAGTAGTAGTCTGTTGTGTGAATATACCATAATTTGTTTATCCAGTCACCATTTCATGAACATTTAGGTTGTTTCTAGTTTTTGACTCTTGAATAATGCTGTTGTGAACATTAGTGTAAACCCTTGTGATCACAAGGGTTTTATTGTTTGGAAGTAACAAGTGCTTTGGAGAAATATATGGGACTTATATTCCTAACATTAATTTTCTGTTGTCAGGGAAAAAGGAGAAGCCAAAGAAGTTCACTAAACAACCAAAAAAGCAGATGTCTTCACCCTGTGGTCAGAGGAAAGAAAAGGCACTGGAGAAGGTAATTCTAAATTACATACTTCTAATCTAAAGTTCATATTGAGAAATAAGCAAGTGTAGCCAGGGAAACCTGAAAAAGAAGAGAAGCAAATATTCATAATGGAATGCTAGTAGTGTAAAATGAATAAATTATTATAAAGACTGAGATTAATTAAATACCTCTAAGATGTATTGACAGGTGAAAAAAGGAAAGTGCAAAATAGCATGTAGAGTGGTATATTGTGCTACCATTTGTGTAGTATAGGTGAAAGAATATATATGAGTATATTGTATGTAAATAAAATATCTCTCGAGCCCTAGCCAGTTTGGCTCACTGGATAGTACGTCGACCTGTGGACTGAAGGGTCCCAGGTTCGATTCCGGTCAAGGACACATGCCCAAGGTTGCGGGTCTGTCCCCAGTAGGGGGTGTGCAGGAAGCAGCCAATCAATGATTCCCCCTCATCATTGATGTTTCTCTCTCTTCCTCTCTGAAATCAATAAAAATATATTTTAAAAATGTTATATATATATATATATATATATATATATATATATATATATCTCAAAAGCTACATAAGTACTTGATAAGATTGGTTGCCTCTGAGGAGTGGAACTGAATGTCTGGGGGCAAAGGCTTTTTACCGTGTGTGCTGTTTGTAACTTTTGAATTTTGAACCAATATTATTCAAAAAATTAAATAAATAAATAGACTTTAAAATGAAATAAAATAAATAGATTTTAAATGCCCATCAGCAGATGAGTGGATTAAAAAACTGTGGTACGGCTACACAATGGAATACTATGCTGCTGTATAAAAGAAAGAACTCTTAACCATTTGCAACAGCACGGATGGACCTGGAGAGCATTATGCTAAGTGAAATAAGCCAGTCATTTGTGGAATATGATGAGCAACATAAACTGATAACAAAAATAGATCCAGAGACACAGAAACATCAAACAGACCAACAAACCTCAGAGGGAAGGCAGGGGAGGGTGGGAGGGGAAAGTAAGAGATCAACCAAAGGACTTGTATGCACACATATAAGCATAACCAATGGACACAGACACTAGGAAGGTGAGGGCATGTGCTGGGGGGTGAGAGCGGCTGGGAGAGGTCAATGTGGGGGGAAAAGGAGACATATGTAACACTTTCAACAATAAAGAGTTTTAAAAAAAAGAAAAATGTTATGTAACTATGACCACCTTGTTGTTCTTTAAAAAGTGAAATAAACGTAATGTTACTACAAAAAAAATTTTTTTAATAAATTATAGAGGATGGGGCAAACATAGGTTTATAGTTGTGAGTACCTGAAGCACAGAGTTTATTCTTGTATTATTATTTATTAATTGTATTGTTTCCCATACAAGCAACTGTATATCTACGTTTGCCCCATCATGTATTTTACGTTATTTTAAAATAATTCTTATTTCCCCATGTCATCAAAGAAAGGGGTGAAAAGCCAGGTGGGAATAAGAGGACAGTATAAACCACAGTTGGCTAAAAGAAAAGCCCTGGATTCCAAAATGTGTGAAAGCTGGGGTTGAGACAAGTACCACACAATTGCATTGGGTGGGTTTTACATTCATCTTCGTGCTAAGTACTATAGGCACATAAATGGGTGAATTATAAAAGATTACATAAGCTGGGGCTTCCAGATCAAACAAATAAAGCTGGGTTCAAATTCCAGGTTTGTTTCCCTTTGGATATGATTCTTAATTTTTATAAACCTGTTTTATTATAGAGACTAGAGGCCTGTGCATGAAATTCGTGCGGGGGCCGGGGGGTGACCTTCAGCCTGGCCTGCACCCTCTCCAATCTGGGACCCCTTGGGGGATGTCTCCTGGAGATCGGGCCTAAACCGGGAGTCGGACATCCCTCTCACAATCCAGGACTGCTGGCTTCTAACCACTTGCCTGCCTGCCTGCCTGCCTGATCGGCCCCTAACTGCTCCCCTGCCAGCCCGATCGCCCCCAACCGCCCTCCCCTGCTGGCCTGATCGCCCCCAACTGCCCTCCCCTGCCGGCCTGATCATCCCCAATTGCCCTGCCCTACAGGCCTGGTCACCCCCCTGCTGGCCTGATCTTGCCCCTAACTGCCCTCCCCTGCAGGCCTGGTTGCCCACAACTGCCCTCCCCTGCCAGCCATCCTGTGGTGACCATCTTCTGGCAGCCATCTTGTGACAACAGTGCGGTGGCCATCTTGTGATGACGTCGCACGATGCCACCTAGGCTTTTATTATATAGGATAATAATAACATCTGTCTCACATGGTTGTTGTAAGGCTTAAATGAAATACTTGTAATGCTCTTGGTACAGTATTTTGCACTCATTAAATATATACTTTTATTACTATAGCACTAATAAGTCAATATGTTCTAATTGGGCTTTACTGTTGTCTACTTTTTTTTTAGACAACTTCTAGAGATGTGTCTCCTTTCCTGTGAGTATTGCTCCTGAATCCAGTCAAATATTCACTCTGAAAGCACCAGTGCTGACTTTGGTTTAACTTTTCACTAGTGTGAGTATGCAGAAGAATAAGTGGGATGTCACAAGATCCTTGAGATTCAACCAGGATGCACAAAGAGAAGATGGTAAGTTTTATTACTTGTGTAATATGCAAGTTAGGTATAAATAACAATAATAGGAATCTTTTATGTTATGAAGTATGCTGAATAGCTTTAAAGGTTTCAACTGGAATAAGGCTCAGAATTAAAACATTCCTTAGACATCAACCAGAGTTTCATTACTAGACTGCCCTCTATTTTATGCACGTATATGGTTTTAAGGTCTCTCAGACTGACTTTTGCTCACTACTTTCACTCTAAAGATGACAGAATATGGTTTAGGCTGATTTATAGTAATCTTAAAAACATGAAAATTATCCATGTTTGAGCTATTTTCCACTTGTAGTCTAAAATTCTTCAATGATAATTAGGCTGTAGGTAGTCTGTAAAACATTTTCATAAACACTTGATTGCAATCTTTTTTAAGAAATAAAAGTTATAAATCACCCTTATAAAAAGTAAGGTTTATTATTTTTTACCTTCAGATCAGCGACGGATGTCTGAGATTACAGGGCACCTTATAAAGATGAGATTGGGTGATCTGGACCGAGTCAAGTCAAAGGAATCAAAAGAAGTAAGAATTATGAACTAGTGCCCTATGCTTGCTTAGATATGCCTTCCTACTTTCTGTTCATCATGAGGAATATAAAGATGTTTTAGAAATAATTTTAAGAGAATGATTTAAATATTTTTATATTCTATACCAGTTAGCCAATTCATTCACATAAAAGTTTTCTGCTACCGCTTATTGTCTGTGGTTCATAGGTCCTCTATAACACGTATAATAAAGTGCATTGTCACTGGATGTGTGATGTCACACCAACAGAGGCTAACGATGCATTGCTGACCAGATGCTGACTATCCAGAGGGTGACTTTTAAGAAGTTGCTGATTTGATCAACTCTGCTTTCAGTGCTTAGATGTTATCTCTAAAATAAGATATTATCTTGCTGAAAATGACTAGAAATGCCTATGTTCTTACTAGAATTATATATTAACCATAACATTATGTATTACCACAGTATTGATAATGTTTAGTTATAATTACTCATGCTATGTTTTTAATTTTTTTAAATTTTTATTGATTTCAGAGAGGAAGGGAGAGGGAGAGAGAGATAGAAACATCAATGATGAGAGAGAATCATTGTTTAGCTGCCTCCTGGACGCTCCCTACCAGGGATCGAGCTCGCAACCTGGGCGTATAACCTTGACCAGAATCAAACCTGGGACCCTTCAGTCCACAGGCCGACACTGAGTCAAACAATCTAGGACTTGCTCCTACTTTTTTATTTAAAAATTTACTTCCGTATAAAACTTCTAAGAGAAAACATAGGCAAGAAATTTTTGTGACCTGGATTAGGCAAATCATGTATATGTTAGCTACCACACCAAAAACATGACCCATAAAAGAAAAAAAATTAACAAATTGGACTTCGTCAAAATGTAAAATTTCTTCTTTTTGAAAGACACTAATAAGAAAATGAAAAGACAGGTCATAAGCTTTGAAAAAATATGTGTAAAACATTTATCTGGTAAAGGATTTGTATCCAGAATATATAACTCTCAAAACTCAAAAATAAAATAAACAATCCATTAAAAGAAATGGTCAAAAGATTAACCATACACTCCCTTTTTTTTTTTTTAAATATATTTTATTGATATTTTACAGAGAGGAATGGAGAGGGATAGAGAGTTAGAAATATCGATGAGAGAGAAACATCGATCAGCTGCCTCCTGCACACCCCCTACTGGGGATGTGCCCACAACCAACGTACATGCCCCTTGACCGGAATCGAACCTGGGACCCTTCAGTCTGTAGTCCGACGCTCTATCCAGTGAGCCAAACCAGCTAGGGCTAACCATACACTTCTTAAAAGAAGGTTACAGGTGGCAGATTTTAAAAATATATTTTTATTGATTTCAGAGAGGAAGGGAGAGAGAGAGATAGAAACATCAGTGATGAGAATCATTGATTAGCTGCCTCCTCCACATCCCCTACTGGGGATGGAGCCTGCAGCCTGGGCATGTGCCCTGACAGATAATCGAACCTGCGACTTCCTGGTTCTTCAGTAGATGCTCAACCACTTAGCCACACCAGCCAGGTGAGATGCAACAGATTTCGTCATTAGGGAAATGTAAATTAAAACCTCAATGATACATCACTGTACACCAATTAGAATATCTCAAGATTTTTTAAAAACATGCTGGCAAGAATGTGGATCAACTGGAACCCTTAAATATACCAAATAGGGATGCAAAAGGAATGATCACTTTGGTAAACAGTTTGGCAAGTTCTATAACAAACTACTGAATTCAACAACATAAATGCATCTCATATACATTATGCTAAATGAAAGAAGCCAGATGCAAAAGTCTACAGATTGTATCATTCTATTTATATAATGTTCTAGAAAAATGGAAAATCATAGGGTCATAAAACAGATGGGTGGTTCCAAGAATTGCTAGTGTCAAATTAGTTGACTTAAAAGAGGCTCAAGGGGATTTTCTTGGGGTGAAGGAACAATTCTGTCTCCGTTGTAACAATGGTTCACAGCTTTATGCATCTATCAAAACAAAATGTTTACTAAGAAAAGGTGAATTTTAATGTATGTAAACTATAAGTCAGCCTGAATTTTTCAAAATAAAGTTACTTTTAAGTTAAAAAGTAATACCTTTTTAAAAATGTATACATTTTTATTTATTTCAGAGAGGAAGGGAGAGGGAGAGAGAAATATCAGTGATGAGAGAGAATCATTGATGGGCTGCCTTCTGCACACCCTCTGCTGGGGATCGAGCCCACAACCTGGATATGTGCTCTTGAACGGAACTGAACCAGGGACCCTTCATTCCACAGGCCAAGGGTCTCTATCCATTGAGCCAAACCGGCTAGGGCAAAAGCAATGCCGTTTTAATAAAGCACAGCTTCTGTTGATTCTGTAAAGATAATGTCTAAATTTTGTCCCTTTACTCTGCAGTTTGCAGGAGGTATTTATTCCAGGCTTGAAGCACAAATCAAGGCCACAGTGCCAGTCAGTGTACGGCAGGGAAGCTCCGAGAAAAACACAAGGTAAGTCAGCATCAGAGAATTCAGAGCGCCATTGGCTTTGAAGGGATTTTTATTTTATTTTATTTTATTTTATTTAATTTTAGGGAAAATTATATGACACTAGAAGCACATAATTTGAGTTTTGTTTTGCTTCAAGGATTAGACCAAGACATTAATAAGAACCAGATTTTAACTTAAAAGTTAAGACTTTAAAAGGTCATAAGCACAAAATTTAATGAAAGAATAGTTCTTATAAGTATTCTTTTTATTGATTCAGTTCTGTTCTGACCCAACTGCTGATAAAAATGTAAGCAATAGTGTTACTGTGAATTAGCAGAATTTTATACTGTTTATGAGTTATATATTATTACTTTATATAAATCATTGAAGTCTTTCTCATTCCTTGTTTTATTTTATTTCTCTTTAAAAAAATCTAACTTGTGGGCCCTGTGTTATTTTATGTCACACTTTTTCTTTTAAAGATTAACAGTAACTGAGATTTGATCATTAATACTACAGATCCAAAGCCTTATCTGCAATGCAGAAATCCAGAAAGCTCAGAAAACCACAAGATTTTTTTATATCTGTCAGTTCAAACCTAAACTGAGCTACTATGATGTTATTTGTAGTTTTTATTTATCCCACTTAATGAAAATGTTCATTTGTTTCACTGTGAAGAACATTAAAGCATTCGATCATGGGACACTGCTCCAGATCCGTTAACATACAATCCAGGTGCCATATTATCTCCCCAAAACAAAAAATCCGAATCTCACTCCAAGGGTTTTTAAAAAGGGATTAGGGAGCTACATAAAGTTTCTTATTCTTCGATACTGTCAAGCAAGCATAACCTAAGCAGCAGTAACTTTCTATTGTTTGAGAAGCACCTCTGACCTTCTTTCCTGTTTAAAAAATGTAGGTCGAAAAGCCGTTTTGGTCCAGGGCGTCCTGCATAAAGCACCTTAGCGTGTAACTACAGAGGCAGCAGACACACCTCCGGACATCCGAAATTGCTCACCTCTTGGAGATCTTCAGAACGATGACTTCTAAATGTTTTATTTATTAATTATTCTTGCAAACATCATAAATCAGAATGCTAAGGGAAGCATATAATTAGGTCTTATGAAATCTAATTGTAAATATGAAATTCTTATCTAATTTTCTTTTAGTGTGATGCTAGGCTATATAGAAAATTAGTATTTACAAATTAGTTTAGATTCCTAATATTCGTTTATTTATTTGAAAGAGAAGAGGCCTAAACTCTTGAGTAGCTAAGATCTCTTAAGACCTTAAAAAATTAGGCGAACACACCTGGTAGTGGTACCATGCATGTGCACCGACTTGGCATGCCTCCTGTGAATTGTGGGGTAGCGTTGAGCACGGCAGTTTGTGTGATGAAATTCTCAGTGATGCTGATTTTAAGTTTGCATGAATATTAAGGAGGGATGGATCTCAAGACTGCATTAAATAAAGTGTCATGGTGAGGTATGTCTTGTGTTGGGCAGAAGGGTTAAATGCTTTCAGTGTTATTCCATGGAAAGCACAATGTCAATCCAATTTTTTCTTCTTTTGTTTTTTAATGCTTACCTATTGGTCATCTGAGCTGGAATTACTGATTATTGACTCTTTCTCTGTGAGGCTAGTGCCATCTGAATTTGTTAAAATAACCATTGATAGTTTTAGGATAGTAAATCATTTAGGTTGTCTGAGATACCCATTATACCGTTCTCAGGGTTCTAAAACCCAACCATATGTCTATAGCTATTCAAATAGCCCTTTAAAGAAGTTACAATTACTTATTGCTTTAGAGCTGTCTAGGAAGAAAGATTCCCAAATGCATTTGATGGATGAAAAACTGCATATATTCGAGAGAAATCAAAATTCTATAGATCATGTTTTAATTTTTCTAACAAAGAAGAAAGAGTGCTCAGGGAAAATTTTTCCAAACCATAAGCACATAAAGTATATATTTAGGAATTATTTATATATAGGTCTCTTTAAGATGCACTGTTTCTAATTTAAATGAAGATTTGCCTTATAATTGACATTTCTTCAAAGTATTTAGAGAACTGACTTTGATAATATGACAGAACAGCAATTTTTGTTGAAATATTGAAGTGTTATACTTAGTAAACACATACAGAAACCATTATTTTTAGTGAGTGTTTTAGTTGATAAATTAAGTTAGATTTTATTTGATGTTATATATATGGCTTGGCCAAGGTTTTGGAACTTCTGTTTGGAAACTTGTGTTGCAGTTTATATATTTTTCAATTGATATTTTTGAAATGGACTATACATTTTTTATTTTTAAAAGAAAATGTTTTATAGCACATAATCTGTAAGCCCTGCTAAATACCAGAGTCTTGCTTAGTTTACTGTATTCTCTAATTTAAAGGATTTAGGCATATACATGTTATATTGTGCTGTGACAGTCACAACCAGACGAGGAAAAGATGCCCTTTTGATTTTTAACTGATAGTAACAAGGCAACTTGCTTGTCCCCTAGGGAGACTGTACCACTGAATTGATTTTTACAAACCACAATTTATCAGAATTTGGTTCTCTTCAAAATGTGCTTTTATTTTATTAATGTCTGTTGAACATAACACAAGTACCACAAACATTTTATTCAAACTTTTAATAGTATTTCTTTTGCCAAATACTTTGAGGTTTGACCTTACATTAATTCTGAATTCACATTTCTTTAATTGAAATAAATGTTAATGACAAAAGTAGTTTGAAACATCCTTTGATCTGAATCATTCCATCTCCCCAGGAAGGTCTCACAATACCCACCCCTCCCCGCCCCCAAATCCAGTATTCTCATTTTATGGGTGGAGAAGTAAGTTCAGAGAGTAAAGTAACCCACACAGGGATTGGGGTCTGGGCCTATCCGCACATTCCAACAGCTTCTTGAAATAATATGCCTTGGATTGCCTAAACAGTCAGTCTCTCCTGGCTCACTGGTGACCCTAGCTCACTTCCTGTCGTTTCTTTCAGTCTTCTGTATCCAACGCCTACTTGGCATTTGTACTTGAAACACCAATACGTGTCTGCAGCTTAACATAATCAAAACAGAGCCAACAGCCCCACAGCTCCCTGCTTGTTCAAGTCCAGTCTTCCACAGTTTAGGAAATGGTACTATTGCCTCCCCAGTGCACAAACCGAAATCTAGAAATTACTTCTTATTCCTCTCTTCCCTTCACCCCCCACATCCAGTTCATCATCATAGCCCATACATCTTTTTGCTTCTCTCCATTGTCATTAGCACCGCCCAAGTCAGTATCTTTTACATGAAGTGCTGCAAACGTCTCCCAAGGGATTCCCCAGCTTCCACTCCAACCTCTGTTATCCACAAAGCAACTGTAGTGATTTTGAAATGTGAATCAGATCACATCGCTCCCCTGCTAACATTCTCGTAGCACTTCATCAAACCTAGAATAAAATCCAACCTCCGTGGCGTGGGCTTACAAAGTCCTACGTGGCCCAGGCCCTGGCTGCCTCTCAGACCTCCTTTCCCTCCTGCTTAGTACAGTCCAGTCACATTAGCTCACCTGTTCCTCCAACATGTAAGCTCATTCCCACCTTTCAGTCTCTTCACATTAGCTGTTCTCACTGTCTAGAAGGCTTTTTTTTTATAATTCAGATTTGAGGTTAGCTCTTAGTTCCACCAGGAGGCATTTCCATGTCTCAATCTAAAGTAGCTACTCAGGTCACTGTCATATCATAGTTTATTTCTGTACAACTGTGACATTATTGCTCTGATGTTTTTCTTTTATTTGTTGGTTTGCAGTTTGTCTCTAATGCCAGAAAATGAAATTCAATGCATCCAAATTGGAAAAGAAGTAAAACTGTATTCACAAATGACATGATTTTTAGATAGAAAAAATCTTAAGAAATCCACTAAAAGCCTATTAGAACATATAATTAAGTTCAGCAACATTTCAGGATTCAAGATCGATGTACAAAAGTCAACATTTCTATACACTATTAATGAAAAATCTGAAAATAAAACAATTCTCTATAATAGCATCAAAAAGAATAAAATACTTAAAAAATAAAAGAAATGCAAAACATTCTGAAAACTATAAAATATCATTGAAAGAAATTAAAGAAGGGTTAAATAAGTGGGAAAACTATTCCATGTTCATGGATCAAAAATCTTAAATGTTAACCTAGCATGACTCATAGTTTCACCACAATTTCTATCAGAATCCCAGCTGGCATTTTTGTAGATATTGACAAGCTGATCCTAAAATTCATATGGAAACTCATGGGACCCACAACAAGCAAAACAGTTTTGAAAAGAACAAAGAAGATTCACACTTTCTGTTCTAAATTCTTACTGTAGAGCACAGTATAGCACTAGCAAGGGATAGGCATATGTATATATCAATGGAACAGAATTGAGAGTTCAGAAATAAACCCATCTATTTATGGCCACCTGATTGTCAACAGTGCCAAGACCATTCAATGGGAAACAAATAGTCTTTTCTACAAATGGTGCTGGGACAACTGGATAGCCTCATGCAAAAAGAGTGAAGTTGGACACTTACACCATGTACCAAAAGAAATTGATTCAAAATGGATTAACCACCTAAATGTGAGAACACACACAATTAAGAAAGTGGACAGACAGCCTACAGAATGGGAGAAAATGTGTACAAGTCATATGTCTAATAAGGGACTTCTTTTCAGAATATAGGAAGAACTTTTACAATTCAACATTAAAAAAGACAACCCAGTTTTTAAAATGATAAAGGATTTGAATAGACATTCCTCCAAAGAAGATATGCAAATAGCCAATAGCACTTCATAAGATGCTCAACATCATTAGCCATCAGGGAAATGCAAATTAAAACCCCAAAGAGATACCACTTCACACCTGGTAGAATGACTATAATGAAAAATCCACCTAAGGACTGGTAGAGAATGTGGCAAATTTGGGCCCCTCATACCTTGCTGGTGACAATGTAACGTATGCAGCTCCCTTGGAGAGCAGTCTGCAGTTCCTAAAAAAGGAAATTTAAGATAGAGTTACCATTTATCAATTTATCCTAACAGGTATATTATTTTCTATCTAGTCTCTTCTTGTGTTTATCCATATGCATCTATTCATGCACAGGACAGTAGCATTATCTACCTTCTCATGCAGGAGGAGAAACAGACCCAGAGATGGCAGCGTGACTAAGGGCAACAGAAAGAATGTTCTGTGCAGTGTGCTCTTCGTGACAGTATTGCTGTGTTACATGAGGTAATACATACATGTAAAACACTAAGAATAGTGCCTTTGCGGTTTGGCTCAGTGGATAGAGCGTCGGCCTGCGGACTGACGGGCTCCAGGTTCAGTTCTGGCCAAGGGCACATGCCCAGGATGTGGGCTTGGTCCCCAGTAGGGGGCATGCAAGAGGCAGCCAGTCATTGATTCTGTCTCATCATTGATGTTTCTATCTCTTACTCTCCCTTCCTCTATGAAATCAATAAAAATACATTTTTAAAAAAAGAATAGTGCCTGACACATAGTAAATGCTCAAAAGATGTTATTATTAGACCACATGGAAGACTTTTAGAAATAACTATATGGTGCTCATTTCCATTTTTTACCCTGGCTCATGCCGTTTTCCCACCTGGACTGATGGCCTTTTGTTTTGCTGCTTATTGAAATTTCCCCCTGGCCCTCTGTCCCTGCTCAGACCTCCATGAATCTGCTGGTCCCTCTCTCTGAATTTTGTTGCACTCACGACATTGCCACAGTTTAGCAGTCACACATTCTCATTCCTTGTTTTGTTTTGTTGCCCTTGGGTCCCCAACAACTCCTATGCTCTACTGGTAATATTTTATATATAGGCTAGAGGCCCGGTGCACTCAGGGGGGCCCTCAGACCAGCCTGTGCCCTCTCGCAGTCTGGGACCCTTCGGGGGATGACCACCTGCTGGCTTAGGCCTGCTCCCTGGGGCATAGCGAAGGTATAGTCAATTAGCATCTTTGTCCTTTATTAGTGTAGATGATTCCCAAAACAATGTGGGAGTTAGGGCTCAAACTCCCTGAAGAGTCAAACTCTGCCTATAACTTTTGACTCCCTCCAGAACATAACTGTAAATAGACTACTGTTGACCAGAAGCCCTAGCAATAATGTAAAGTTGATTAACATTTTATGCTTTATGTATTATACCAGAGGCCCGGTGCATGAAAACTCATGCACTGGAGGGGCGGGGGTCCCTCAGCCCGGCCTGCCCCCTCTCACAGTCCGGGAGCCCTCAGGGCCAGGAGGCGACCAGGCAATCAGGGGAAGGTGACGCCCCATCACACCTCTGCTGCTGCCACTGCCGGCAGCTCAAGCCTCGGCTGACCCTGGTTACCTGAGCCTCGGGCGGCCCTGGACAGCTGGGCAGCCACTATCTGAGGCTTGCCTGTGCCTCAGGCTGGCCCTGGGGGGCGGAGGGGACTGGGGGACTCCAGAGACAGGCACTCTGGCGGGTCTGAGAGGACTGGGCGCCGCCATCTTGTGGCTGTGGGCGCTGCCATCTTTGGGGGGGGGGGAGTCAACTAGCATATTCCCTCCTTATTGGCTGTGGGAGCCGCCATCTTTGTGTCGGTGTGAGGGTCAATGAGCGTATTCCCTCTTTATTAGATAGGATACTATATTCTTAAAAAAAAAAATGAGCTACAGAAAAGAAAACATTAAGAAAATCATAAGGGCCAAAACCGGTTTGGCTCAGTGGATAGAGTGTCGGCCTGCGGACTGAAGGGTCCCGGGTTCGATTCCGGTCAAGGGCATGTACCTTGGTTGCGGGCATATCCCCAGTGGGAGATGTGCAGGAGGCAGCTGATCGATGTTTCTCTCTCATCGATGTTTCTAACTATCTCTCTCCCTTCCTCTCTGTGAAAAATCAATAAAATATATTTTAAAAAAAAAATCATAAGGAAGAGAAAAATACACTTACTATACTTATTGAAAAAAAATTGAGTATAAGTGGAACCATGCAGTTCAAACTCATGTTATTCAAGGATCAACTGTTATTATATAAATAATTGAAACAAACATGACAGTTTCATATTTGTTAGTTTTGAATGGTGGTTACTGTTTTAGACTCTGGTTGTTTGTAGTTAATACATTTTCCCAAATTAAAAATACTAAGCCAACCAGAAGTTATTGACCATTAAAATGATGAGGATTTGTTTAAAAATTTGAGAAAGAGAAATAAAAAACCCAAAAATTTGAGAAATTAAAAATAAAAATTTGAGAAAGAAAAGCTTCAGCAACAAATGTAGGCAACTCAGAATTATTTTATATCAGGTACAAATGCATGATGGGATCTCTAAAGTGTATTTACTTCTGACTGTAAGTAGTCACAAGACTGTGAGTATATGTGGTTACGTAATCAGGGAAGAGAGCTTACTTTCCCCCAGTAAGTAAAGGAGCTGACTGCTCCTTCAATGACATCTAATTTTGTCCAACGAATCAATGTTGAAGCCTTTCTCACGGTGGTTCTGGAGTGAGACCTAGTGTTGGCATTTTTAAAGGTCACCAGGTGACTCTCTGTACAGAAGGTTGAGAACCATACTGCTATGTGACATGATGTCGTTAAATGACTAACACAGCAAGCCTGGGCAGGAAATGTTCAGGAGTATTAAAAAAAAATTTTTTTCAGGAAAACATAGATTCTGATACCAGAACACTGTCACAAGGTGGTGCTGAAGTGTAAAGAAACCATTGCTTAAAATCATATAATTT